GAATGATCCAAGGTGCGTGACCTCAAAAGTAATCTTGCAGGTTTTGAAGTTCTTGATTTCCACAGCCGTAGTAACTGTGTGGGTGATTTTGCCAAAAGAAGAGATTGTTCCGTCGATAAGTTGAAGAGCCATAGGTACAGGTTTCTTGTCCATAGCCAGGTTGAGTTGTTGAACCAGTTGAGAGTCAATGAAACACATAGAAGCTCCAGAATCCAAGAGAGCTGAGAATTGTTTTTGTGGTTGGTTTGTTTCCGGTAACTTGATATCCAAAGCGAGTTGATTGCGATATTGTACAGTGTCAATGAGTCCAGTAACCTTTTCCTGAGGAGTATTCCTAGCCTTTGGGCGGCTCAACGCTAGGCGCTGTGGTTCTTGTTGCTGACCGCCTGCTCTTTTGCTTGAGAATAATAAGCGCGTTGGGCGCCTCGAGCATTGGCAGTCTTAGTCTTGGAGACTGGACAGTTGGCAACTGCGTGATCCTTTGATCCACAGTATAGGCAGAGATTTTCCTCCTTCCTTCGTGCGTATTCATCTGACTTCAGCTTGCCTTGCTGATTGATGGGCAAGTTGCTAGATGAGCGCGTGTTGGGATAGGAGCGATTGTTGTTGGGTTGGTATGATTGACGAGTGTAGGTAGTTTGAGTGGTCGTAGCTTGTCTGATAGGATTGTTAGCTCGCACTGAGCTGGAACGATCCCTGTTGACCTCGTATGATTTGGTTTGAGTGGTAGTGGTGTATGGCATAGGGTTGCCACGTTCCAGGGTCCGTTCATAGAGTCGATTGTCAATCCTTAGAGCTGTGTCCATCGTTTCCTTCAGAGCATGAGGACGTCCCACTCTGGCAATCTCGTCTTTGATTCCTTCTTTCAATCCTCTGTAGAATTGCGCAGCCAATGCATGGTCGTCCCAGTTGGTAAGGGTTGCATGGCGCTGGAATTCCGAGATGTAAGAAGAGGCTGATCCTTTTTGACGAAGGACGAAGAGGTTCCTTTCGGCAGTAGCCTCCTCATCAGGATCTCCAAAGGTTTCCTTGAGTACCTTTGTAAACTTCCTAAAGTCCTGCATCATCTCTGGTTCCGGTTCCTTGGTGATATTGGGTTGAAACCACAAGAAAGCGGTGTCACGTAAGAAAGATGCCGCATAGAGAACTTTAGAGCGTTCCGTAGGGTACCGGTTTGGTTGAAGCTCAATCACCATGCCGACTTGCGTCAGGAAGGTGGTTAACTTAGAGCGCTGTCCAGAGAAGTATTCTGGAGCAGCAATCTTGGGTTCCGAGTGTCGCACTGCAGGAACAGCAGGAGGTGGCGAGAGGGATGCGGCTTGTCGCATTTGTTCCTCCAACCTTGCAATCGTTTCTTCCAATTGATTAATCCTGTCTCCTTGAGTGGGAGCTCGGCTACCAGAAGCAGTAGACATGTTGATGTAAGTTGTATTGTGTATTTGTTGAAGTGAAGTAGGCGAAATCCAAGAGTGCGTTGCCTAAGCACAAACTTGGAAGAAGAATTATACTGTTACGGAGGTGTCCGACAGTAACAGGAACTGTTGTTATGCGGACCAAAGCGTCAGTAGAAATTGTGCTAAGGCAGATAGAACTCAGCTAGAAGTCTTGGTTGACTAATCCTTATGTCTAACCGTGAAGTGCTTGACGAGAGCACCGTTGCTGAGAGTTGGTGGATAGTGTAGTGTTGGTAGGTGGCAAGTATGTCAGGAGTGTAACATATGATAATTCTTCTTGAAGAGAAGAATGGAAAATACAAAGGAGGGAATATATAATGAGGGTAAATTGGTTGCCTATATATATTGATGTGTTGGACATTCCCGATGATGATCCCGATCAAGATCAAGATTATGGTCAAGGTCTAGGTTATGGTCAAGGTCAAGATCATGATCAAGGTCAAGATCATGATCAAGATCATGGTCAAGATCAAGATTATGATCAAGGTCAAGATCATGGTTGAGATCCCGATCCCGGTCCTGGTATCTGGGATCGGTCCGTAACACATCCAGGGAAAAGGATCTCGACTTCCCGCTCCTGCTTCCAACATCCGAGCCAGCAAACCACTCCAGTCTATTCATGTCGATCTCTGGGGACCAGCTCGAACCCCTTCCATCGGAGGATCCCTCTACTTCCTTACCTGTTACGACGATCACACTCGGAAGGTCAACCTCAGCTTTCTCAAGAAGAAGTCTGAGACCCGGCAGGCATTGATCGACTATATCAACCTAGTTGAGAATCAACTGGACTGCAGGGTCAAGACCATCCGATCTGATCAAGGAGGAGAATTTGAGTCACATGCTCTTCGTGACTACCTCAAAGCAAAGGGCATTGAACATCACTTCGTTCCAACTGCCGCTCATGCTCAGAACGGTAGAGTTGAAAGGGCGCACCTTACCATTCTCAATCAGGTAAGGACGCTCCTGATTGACAGCGGACTTGATGACAAGTTCTGGGCCGAAGCGGCAAACTACGCCATCTACACCAGGAACCGGGCTCCCACAGGATCTGACAAACATATCCCGGAGGATCTCTGGAGGCAACGTGAAGTCAACTCCCGGCATCTTCAACCCTTTGGCTGTCAGCTCTGGTTCCGTGACCATAACAACACCGACAAACTTCACCCTCGCTACAAAGAAGGGCAACTACTCTCTTACGTCGAGGGGACCGACAACTACAGGATTTGGGATCTACACACCGAAAAGGTCACCATCTCTCGTGATGTGGTCTTTGGTAAACAGCCAAAGATTTCCACCAACACCAAATCACTGGAAACCAAAATCCAGTCCACTCAGATCGACATTGACATAATCCCTGAATCAACATCAGACTCAGGCTCTGAAACCGAAGAGCATCAATCGGCTGAAGACAACACCGATACTCTCGACTCACCCGATCAGCCTGGCGATGACACGACCATCCCAAGTGATCAGGCTACACAGGCTACACAGGCCAAACACAAGCCATCCGGCATCTGGAGCAAAGGATGGGACATAGCACCAGTACCAGAACCGGAGAACCCAATCTTGCCTGATGGCTCCCGACGAGTCCGCAAACCACCTGCCAAATTTGGATACTCAGCAAACCTCGCTACTGCCGTCATCTGTGGCCATGCACTCATCTCCACGGCTATCCCTCAAACATTCCAGGAAGCCCACCGATCTCCAGAATGGGACAAATGGCAGGAGGCTATCAAGGCCGAACTCGACAAGATGGATCAGTACAAGGTCTGGTCTGTCATCGATAGGCAAGAAGCTACATCGAAACCTCTTCGAGCCAAATGGGTCTTCACCCGGAAGATCGACGGAGAGACCGGGAAGCCATCCGCCTACAAGGCTCGATGGGTAGCGAAAGGATTTCTGCAGAAGGAAGGAGTTGACTACAACGAACTATACGCGGGAGTCGCTCACAAGGATACCATCCGAGTCTTCCTTGCTCTGGTCAACTACCTCGACATGGACTGTGATCAGGTCGACATCAAGGCCGCCTTCCTCAACGGAGAACTAGAGGAACTCGTCCATCTCGAACCTCCTGAGGGCAGCAACATTCCTGCCAACAAGGTTCTCCGACTTCAGAAATCACTTTACGGTCTCAAACAATCACCTCGCTGCTTCAACCAGGCTCTCGACAAGTTCCTTCGATCTCTCGGTCTCAACCCTTCTCCGGCCGACTCCTGTCTCTACATCCGATCAACCAAGGATACCCTTCTCATCCTCTCCGTCCATGTTGACGATCAACTCATCGCCTGCAACAATCGCCAGGAACCGGACGACTTCAAGACCAAACTCAACGACCGATTTGAGTGCTCTGATGGAGGAGCGGTCTCTTACTTCCTTGGGTTCAACGTCTTCCGAGACAGGCCCAACCGGAAACTCTACATCTCTCAAGAACACTACGTACAGGCGGTCCTGGAAAGGTTTGGCATGCTCGACTCCAAGCCGGCAAAGACTCCCCTTCCTTCCGGCTTCCGATCTCTTCCCGCTACCGATGCTGAACATCAGGAAGCCGCTCATGAAGAATATCCCGCAATGGTCGGATCGATCATGTATGCGGCCACCATCACCAGACCCGACATCGCTCATGCTGCTGGGGTCTTAGCTCGGACCGTCAGCAAGTGGAACAAACAACATGTCCATGCTGCTCGCCACCTCCTCCGATACCTCCAAGGCACTATCGAACTCTGCCTCACTTACGATGCTACCTCTGGTCAAAGAATCATCCTGGGCTACGCCGATGCTGACTGGGGCGGATGTCTGGATACTCGCCGATCTACTACCGGATACCTCTTCCGTGCTTTTGGAGGACCGGTAGCCTGGAAATCCCGACGACAACCAACCACAGCTCTCTCTACTGCAGAAGCTGAATACATGGCTTCCGCTGATGCCACCCGACAGGCAGTCTGGCTCCGCACTCTTCTCGAATCTCTCGGTCACCCGGTCTCTGGTCCCCTCGCCATTCTCAATGACAACAATGCCGCCATTCAGCTCTCCAAGAATCCAGTCGCTCATGATCGCACCAAACACATCGACATGCGACACCACTATCTCAGGGAGAAAGTGCTCGACAACACCGTTGAACTCTCCCATATCCCTACTCAGGATAACCTTGCCGATGCTCTCACCAAAGGTCTTGCCCATCACCAATTCCATCACCTTGTCACCGGGATGGGTCTCAGCGGCAAACCGGTAACCTTCACAAAGGACGCTTGAGTGAGGGGGAGTGTCGAATCCTATTGTTCACCAACACGTCTATTGTTCTCAGAACAATAGACCGTATGGAACAATAAAGCACATCCACTCTTCACACCTTTCCTTTTGTTCCCGCTTAGCAATCTGCGACCACAGTCGCAAGTTGCGACCACAGTCGCAAAGTCGCGACTACTGTGGTCGCATGTTCAGTCACAACTTGCGACTCTGGTCGCAAGTAGGCCTTCCCAGATTAATATATATAGCAGGCCATCCTGGTCTGATTTCCTGATCCCCTCTTGTATATTTTATCCTCATGCAAACTATACAGCGGTGATCAACTCGATATCCAACACTTCTTAGGCTCAGGAGGCCGACGCATTTTACTGGCACGACCTTCTTCGTCCATCTTCTTAGCGCCCCAAGTGCACTTTCCCCTCCCCATATTGGAAGAGCATTGCTGGCAATCCTCGTCCTGTGGAGAAGCCTTGACGCACTCCTCCTCATGTACACGGCATTGGTCCCATCTGGTTATTGGCCGCCCAGATTGTGCTGGCAGGCGGATGACGCATTGTCGATTGAGTCTCCGGCATCGTAGACATGGATGGCCATCTTCGCAAGGAACGTGCGATCGATGACAAGACGTACATGTCGTCGTGTTTCGCGCTGGAGTTCCGTTAGCGGCGACTAACGTCGCACTTACAGACTCCCGAAAGAGTGGATCATGGGTGGTTGATTCGGGGCCCAAAGTAGAGTACCTCCGCCTGCTATGTTGCGTATCGTCCGGCATGTTACTACTTTGCTGCTGGATCACGAAATCCTCAGGGATGGAGCTATTGACAGTGTCATCCGTCCGAGACACCACTGGCAAGCCATCAAGATCAAGCCCCATAGCCGCGAAGTCCAGATTTGTGTTGTGTCTGCTCGATGACCACGACACGGAATGATCGACAGGGTCCGCAATCAAGAAGGGCGGCGCTGACATATTGACCCTCGACGCTTGCTGATTGTGATTGGAATCGCCACTCACAGCACCGAGATGGAAGCATGTCATCCCATCTTGTTGCTGATTGTATCGGAGCTCCGCGGGAACTGACGGTTGTGCAGCTGGCTGGTGATCGTGGGGGAACGACTGAGAATATGTGTTCACTGTCGAAAGTTCTCCATTGAATGCATTCGCCGACGCATACACGGGCTCAGCGCCTTCGAGTTCGAATTCGACTTCGCCTGCGCCTCCGACCTGACGTTCCGCCTGTGATAAACAACTGTCTCTGTTGTTCCAGGTGCAGATTTGACCGAGCTTCGAACATCGATCGCACACGGGTTTGCGCGCATTGCATTTGATTTTCTTTCCATGGCATCGGTCACATGCCATAGGCCGTATTCGGATCACACCCTTCTTGGTCGGTCGTGCCGTGTCGTCACATTGTAGTCCTCTGCGAGCACACCGACCACAGGGTCGTTGCAGATCGCATTTGATTTTGCCAAGCCGGCATCTCTCACAGGCAAGTCCTTGACCTATTCGAGTTCGCTTGAGTGACTGCTCGGACGACCAGCCTGACTGGAGTCTTGTATGAGAGTAAGCATTCAGCTCCACGCCGGCTGGAATAGCAGACTGCTCTGTATCCTCTTCATATCGAGCTGCCTGAGTATGGGCAGGATCTCCACTTGTACCGCACTCTGACCCCTCGAGCGAGATAGAATGCCTGATCGTATAAGAACCTGTCACTGGATCTATGTCATAAGTGGCATAGTCGGAAGACTCAAGAAGAATCGGATCGCAGGGTGTCTTGTACTGGGTATTGTGTCGTCGAACTCTCCGCCGGCAGTGTCGTCCCTGCGGGATCTATCAAGCTCCCGTGATCCGGTCTGGGATCGATGTGAGGATGGCGGTGCATTTTAGGTCTTATTGCGGTATTCTTTGGTGGGTGTTGCTTCAGCGCCGACTGGATACCCTGATATCCTGGAGTAAATACTCTTCCAGGCTATGTGTTACATGAGATCGAAGCAAAAATCCCAGAGGATACGCCTCGTGTCGACCTCCTTTGATCCCCTTGGGGTTTCGGTTTCACCCACCGCGAAACGATGATATCGAATGGATAGGAGACATACGTTTCGTTACGTGCCGCGATGGAAAAGTTGGTGGCGTTCTCCCGCTGACGCGATCGACCTGCTTGCACTCCCTTGTCATGACCGTATCGATCGGTGATCGGTGATGAACAAGGAGGAAACGGGAAGAGGCATGAAGGTGGTTAAGATTTGATCAGTCTGATATGAATATAGAACAGACATCGACGGAAATGTGATTGTAATACAGTTGTACAATAGTTTCTACGCTGAGTGTTCGGAGCACGTTCCACTGCCGGACGAGTCGATCGATCCGTCGATCGATCCTGAAGATCGACCCGTTGACGACCGCCATGAACCGTAGTTCGACGACCCATGAGCGAAGTTCCCGGGATGGCTGTTCGATTGAAGATCTTTCCATAAAGTAGAAAAGTAACGACCTTCCCTGGAGTTCGCTATGACAGTCCCCTCATCGTTCACCTCAAACCATACGCCGGGTGCGCAAGGCAAGGTATAGTCAAAGCCTGGATCCTGCCGGTCTTCCGTTCCCGGTGGAACCCATCTCTGCCAGCCTCCAGAACACTTCACTTCACCCTCGCCGTTAACTGCAATGACAACACCACTCATGTTCTTGAAGGTCGTGTTCTGCGTGCTGAAGGTGAGAGGCAGCGGTTTGTAGATTTTTGCGAGCTGTCCACCCTTCTCTTCGACGCTCTGGTCAACCTCTCGGCTGTACTCGTGCGATGACGAAGAGTCTTCAACTGATCGGTCCCCGCTGTTTTGGGAGGTGTTGTCACCAAAATCGATTTTAACGCCGTCAACAGGGTAATATGTTGAGGCTGTGAGTTTTGACTGCCTCTCGGCCACTGAAGCTGGGCTGAGGCGCAACGGGGATTTGAAATCCAGGTTGAGATCGTCAGGCTGGCGACCTTTACTTCTCCCCTCTGCAACGAAACTGCACCGGATCCTGCTGCGTCTACAGGCTGGACACGCTTTAGCCGCAGCTAGAGTCCGCAATACCCGTACGCATCGAGTACCTCTGCGAATGCAATTTTCGCACCGATCTCCGTTCTTTCTCTCTTCTCCATATTTGAAGTTCCTTAGCGTTCGGTCTTCTTTTTTATAATTCAGGCTTCCTAGCGTTTGGTCTGGAAGAGGACGCGACATCGGTAAGAAGGGCGGGAAAGGGAGATGTTCTTGCTGTGACTGATATCCTGCTTCTGATCTCGGCGTATGCCTGTATTTATTGTCACCCCCTCACCAGCACCTATCTCATCGAGCTACTTCTTATTCTTATAGTGCTCAATGCGGCTGAAACAGCAATGGTTGCCTCCTGAAGGGCATGAAAGGAAAGCTCTTGCTACTGCAGTGTTTTACTGCTTGTTGCGTATCGAATTAAAGTAGATTCACGTAGGCTGCATCAAGACTGCTGACTCCAACCAAGATGAGGAGGATTGCAAGCATGTCAGCGTGAACGGAACAATGTCATCTCTTCTGCAGCGTATTTATTGGCTCATGGAGACATAGAAATCGCATCTGTGTAGACGAACAGTAGGATTTGCATGACTCCAGCAATAGCGTTCGAGATGGGCCGGCCTGTGCCTATCTGCCAGAGACTGCTCGATCTACATCTGATAGTACATGGATATGGTATCTATCTTACAATCTCCCCGGTACTCCCTAGCATCCAAAATCAAAGAACCCCCTGCCATCCAAATGGCTTCGGTCTGTCTCTTAGATCTCTTACCCTCTTCTCGTTCTGTCAGCTCGGATGTACTATAGTACTATACTAGTACTGACGTACTGACAAATATTCTGAAACTGGCATCGCACAGCACATTATAACGTGTAATTGATTTCCTTGCAAACAGGTACAACGAAAGTCTTATGGACCTCCTGGATCGTCCCCACCTGGTCCCCTCGAAATAGGCCTCACCGCGAGACTCCCACCATACTCTTCCAGATTTATCCGACTCGAGCTCCTCGACAACGATGACAAGCCCTTCGCACCCAGCAAATGGCCAGTCGCGTCCGTCGCCCCAAAGACGCTTCCAGGTGGATCATTCCATCCGCCCGTCCCCGCCGCCTCTCCGTTCGCCGAAGTCATGGGCAGCGGGGAAGTGCGCTTACTGCGCAAGCTACCCGGCGAAGACTTGGCGCTCAAGGATCGACTGCCATCGCTCATTAATTGCAGGGCCGTCTTGGATGGTGACGGCCGGGGCGTCAATTCGTGCTTGTCCGCGAACCCGTTGAAGGCGGCGGGTGTCGAATCGCTGTGCGCGGGAACAAAGAACGATTCGTGCGCCTTGGGAGATCCTGGCAGTGACATGCTCGTCGACGTGCTGTAAACTTCGGACCGCTCGGGCATCTCGATATGGCCCGGATGTGGTGATGTCACCTGCCGATTCCATGTCGGCCTGGAAGCCTTTTCGCGTCTACTATTATGCGTCACTTTGGCGACCAGGGTCGAGAACTTGTGGACGTAGGGCTTCAACCGCGACGTCCCGGACCAAAGCGTCTTAGGGCTGGCAGGCAAGAGCCCCTCTTCCGCCGAGGACGACGCCTGTGACCGCATCCTCATCCAATCCCGGACCTCGCCTGCGTCGGACCGTTTCCGCCGTTTCTGGAGACTCGCCTTCGTCAACCAGAACCTCCTCCTCAGTACCGCATAAGCGAGCCCGACAAAGATCAAGATGATGGTGAAAAACACCCAAAAGACGTCCAACCCCAGCTCGTCCATTTTTCGTTCGAACTTGGGCAACCCCAGCGCCTGTCCCACTCGTCCGCGTCCGACGGTCCACGCTTGGCTCCACTTCGAATGCGTCCCTACAGGCTGCGCAACGTCGTGTCCATGGGGTTTCACCGCCTTGCTCGCCTCGATGACCATCTTGCCCAACGTCCAACTGACCGCCGTCTCCCCGATCGTATCGACGCTCTGGAAATGCGAGCTCTTCTTCGAGACGAGTCCCTTTTCCTTGGCCCGTCGTGCGGCCTCGTCGACGAGCTCTCCACCCTTTTCGCCAGTCAACGTCTGATCTCCCTGAGCGTCCGTTATTCGAGGGATCCCGATCCCGTCGTGCAGGACGTTTGATATCCAGGCTCCCTTGAAACATTGCATCTCTAATCTTGAGATGTCCACCTGTCATCCGAACCCGTATATGTCAGCCCACACTATCTTTCCACGATTCCCTCTTCCTCTTCCGCTTTTGTAACTCGCAAACCCGACTCACCGCCGTCCCCTCCAACCCGTTCTCCTTCTGAAACCCCTCCTTGATATCCCCCCAATCCCTCTGACAGAACCCTTCCATCCCCCTCTCCCACTCGGCCCAATCCCAGACCCCTCCGAGACCCAAGATCTGTTGCGCGGTATACCAATACTCGCTTATCCCGATGAAGCCGCGTTGATCTTCCCGTTCGAAATCGATGTGAGGGGTGGGGAGTCCGGCAAAAAGACAGTGTGAAGCGGGAGGAGGACAGGGGGCAGTCCGATCCAGTAGAGGTTGGAGGGATTCGAGGCACCGGGAAAAGGATCCTGTGCCGAGGAACGACGGCGTGGAAGCCGAAGTCGGCGGCAATTTCAAGCCTTTAGGTAGACAAGGATCTTCGATCGGTTGAAACAACGTCGCCGCTACCGAAGTGGGGACCGACTCTCCGCTCTGTTTGATCGCCTTGCTCAACCTCTCGTTCTCCTTTTGCCACTCCAAGACCTTTGCGGCGATATACCGTTCCCTGACCTGGTTCGTCCCAAAGCCCAACCAGGAAGCCACGAACAACGGCCATTCGACCGCTTGGCCCGATAATAGGCGGAGGGAGACGGATTTCAGTTCTTCGGGTGGGAAATTCGACCGTTCGAGTTCCCCTACAGAGGGAGAAAAGGCGATCTGCGTGGAAGCGCCTCCCATATCGAGGAACCCGAAGGTGGGGTGATGATGGTTGACATCGACCAACGTCGGAGAGACTCCCTTTTCCAAGCTCCCCTGGGTTTCTCTCGAGAGCTCGGGTAACGGCAAGATCGCGTGTTCCTCATCGACGACCTGGCCCGAGGAGTGCCCGAACCCGTCCATGAGGTAATTGACGGCCACCCAACCCCACATCCCTTCTTCTTCCCCCGAGGCCACCCGCACGCTATCCCCACACGGTCCCAACGAACTCGACGCGCCTACGACGAACGGGTAGTCTTTCCGCAGAGTCTCGCATGTGGCGGAGAGGATCCCTTCCCGAGTCTCGGCGGGGAGGAGACGCATGCCCGCTGTTGCTAGGATGTAGATAGGGGTGTTTGAGTGTTGTGAGGGCGGGATGTGAGCTAGGGCGTGTGAGAGGAGGGGCGAGAGGTATTGAGGGATGTTTGCTGGGGACATTGACGAGATACCTATCATACAGAAAATACAGCAGAGGTAAGCTCTTTGCGTCATCTCTCGTTCGCTCGACGGATATGACCGTCACCAGAGATGAGGTACTCACCGGGCTCGGCCTTTTTCATCCAATCGTCTCCACTCGCGCCCTTTTCCACCTTGACCAACCTCCTCAAGCTCTTTTCCACCTCCCACTTGATCTCCTTCTCCACTTCCGCATTGCTCTTCCTCTCTCCCTTGCTCTTGTTCTTGTACTTTTGACGTATGGACCTGACGATCTCTTCCCTCTCTGCCTCGGGGTCTTGGTACGAATAGATGATCAACCTCGAGCCTGACGAGCCTGCGTCGACTATGATGGTATACCGGGTTGAAGAGAGGGTACCCGCGGGAGGAGGCATGGTGTCGAGAGTTTCAGAGTGCCTGCTGAGAACGTAGCTGTTCCTTTCGATCTTGTTCTATCGTGCAAAGTGGCTGGTGTCACGCCGAGGTCGTGAGTCTTGTCCGCAAAGGTCGCGGATGCACGGTAGACGTGACGTGTCTAGTCCATTGTGTGAATGATTGTAGAGGTAGGAATCTAGTGTGATGACAGTTGCGAGAGTGTAGTGAGGTAAAGTCTGATATCGAGTGTGGGTGTATAAGTGTGATGACGACCTTTCCGCCGAGGTTGTCCCATGAGCGTGGTTGATTGTGAGCTGAGACTCTGCGTTGGCCACCCTCGATGATGATCACTAAAGTTGCCCGAGGCAGGCAGGATCATCTTGGTACATCTTCTCGACGAACTTTTCCAAGGGACTGACTGTATATTCAGCGATACCGATCTCACGACTTGTAGCAGATACCACCAGCACCAGCCATGAGATATGCAGTTTTCGTAACAGGTACGCTCCTGTCTTGTCCTCCCCCCTTGACCTATACGTATACCTAATTTCCCTACTCTCACAACCACTCGCAGGCCCGGCCGGAGCAGGCAAATCCACCTTTTGCTCCGCCCTCATCTCACACGCCCAGACCATGAAACGTACCATTCACTACGTCAACCTAGACCCGGCAGCGACAAATTTCGATTATCAGCCCGCAGTGGATATCAAGGACCTGATCAACCTGGAGGATGTGATGGAGGAGCTGGAATTTGGGCCCAACGGGGGGTTGGTCTATTGTTTCGAGTGAGTCGAGAGAACGGAGGGGTCACGTCGGTTCGAGAGGTGTCATGGAATTGTCTGATCTGACCAAAGCGGCGTCTCGATAGGTACTTGCTGAACAACCTGGACTGGCTGGACGAAGAGCTAGGATCGTTCGAGGACGACTACCTCTTGATCGACTGTCCAGGCAAGTCGCCCCGCTTCTTCTATCGTTCTCGTGCTCCATGTGGTTGTGTACTGATCTACCTACATACAACTCATACGCTCTTCCTCCCCGCTCGACCCCGCAGGCCAGATCGAACTATACACCCACATCCCCCTCCTCCCCCGCCTGCTCTCCCACCTCCAATCCGGCAACCTCCAATTCCGAATCTCCGCCGTCTACCTGCTCGAATCCCAATTTGCCCAGGCCGACAAGGCCAAGTTCTTCGCCGGGGTGATGAGCGCGATGAGTTGCATGTTGTCCCTCGGATGTGGGATGTTGTGTCTGATGAGCAAGATGGATCTGATCAAGGGTCCTGCGGGTGGCACGGGCAAGGGACCACAGGGGAGGAAGAAGATTGGAAAAGAGATCGGGAGGTATTTGGATACGGACACGACGTTATTACTGGAGGATGCGAACAAGCAGACGAATCCGAGGTTTCACGCGTTGAACCAGGCGATCGTGAATCTAGTGAGTGATTGCGCCGTCTTGACTCTTCCCTCTCCGTCTTGACTCTTCCCTCTCCGTCTTGCTCTTTCTTTTCCCCTTTTTCTCGATACCTCTTGCACATCCATGTTAACGCCCGCTTCTGCTTCGAACGCCTACAGATAGAAGATCACTCGATCGTCTCCTTCCTCCCCCTTGACATCACCAACGAAGATTCCTTAACATCAGTCCTGAGTCACATAGATCATACGATGCAGTATGGGGAGGACGAGGAGCCAAAGGCGCCAGAGGATCTGGATGGAGGTGAGTCTGGACCCTCGACCGAATTATCGACTCTGGTTGTGATGCTGTTTGCTGATGTCCGGTTCGATGCGATGATAGGCGACTTTGGCGGCGATGGAGATGCAGAATAGATGGAGCAACGTCGGGGACTCTTGTATTTGTACACCTCCTTGGGATACGACGTGCAACTGTATACGACTGTATGGATTACTTGGGATCACGTGATTTTATTTCGGTTCGGGCTTGGCCGATGAACCTTGTTTCGGGAGAGTTCGCCCATCAAAAGTCGGTCTTGATCAAAAGTTCAAGGTTCATATTGCAACATACATTCTCGACTTGTATCACCAACGTGTACCATTGACGATCCTGCGGAGTATCTTACTGCGATACTGGCGGCATTTTCGACTGCTGTACAAGCTGGTAAGCACGCGTGCGAAACCGCAACGCTCTGCACGGCTAACGAAGATGAGAGTTTCATCATCACAGCTTCTGCAAGAATGACTGAACAATCCGAAGTCGCCTCGGTGTCATCGACTGGGACCTCTCTTACCGACTGTCCCAGTAGGAAGCTAGATCGACGAAGAAGCTTGTCACCCATCAGGTCAACAACTCCCGGCGAGACGGCCCGGAGGAGTGGTTCTTTACCTCCGGATTCCGCTTTACCTAGCATCAGGGCGGCCAAAGGTACCTTTCGGAAATTCCCGATCGAGGACTCGACCTATACTCAGCCTTCAGGTTGCTACAAGAGGATAAGTATGAGATCGCGTTCGGCGTCGGTCTCGGCGGTCTCGAATCAAGTGGAAGAGGAAAAGGACCATCGTCACGGTCGATCGTCTTCTCTTCCCCTGGATCCTGATCACCTGAAATCGCACCAGTTGATCATGCACAAGATCGATTTCGTTAAGGATATATCGAGGGAGACTTTAGACTCCAGCACGACGCCCGACTTGCAACTTGCCAACACCGATTCTTCCAGGATCGCTCCTCTGGCGGACCCTGATCAAGCCGTTACGCATCCGGAACAAGTTGAGCCTATCGAGCAGGGCGTGCCCTGCGATATCGATACACTTTCTTCCTCCACGGAACAGTCCACTTGTTCCATCTTACATACAAAAGCCGTAACGGACTCAAGCCAGCCAGCCTTGGTCCTCTCTGTCGCCGATCCGGATCTACAGCCACCCATCACACCGTCGGCCGTCGGCGAGGTCACCGATCCATGCATTTTCTCTGATCAACCTGAAACGAAACCCGATCACACCGAAGGGGACATTCCCGTAGCATTCGACACGACCCCGGAAGCGTCACAAGCCTGTCAGCTAGCTACTGAGAGCCTCCATAATCAGGATAATCAGGACCAGGAGGAGCCCCAAATGGCGCTAGTCCCCGAGCGTTTCATTGCGGAAACCATGATCTCGCCGCTCCTTCTCCCTTCCCCTACCGTCAGGGCGGGAGACCATCTTACCGGTTCTACCACTGTGGTATCCTCAATCCCTGAGGAGATTAGATTGGACTCGTCTGAGCTGCCTCATCGGGAGACGATCAACGTCCCGGCCATCTTCATAACTTCCCCTACCATCAGCCCCGTGCTCGCCCCCACGGCGAGGATCGAGGTTCCGGTCCATCATTCCTCGTCCTGTGCCGGAACCGACGAGGAAGAACAAGAGACAGTCACCGAGCAGGTTCCGAAGGCTGACGATCCAGTCTCACCTAGAGAGCCGAGCATCGTCGTGAACGATCTTACAAGGCAGTTGGAAGATACGGTCGAACCAGAAACAGAAACGCATGATCAGGTCCGACCCGGTTCCGAGATTAGCTCCGCAGCAGCGATCACACCTCTCAGCCATATTGTTACAGCCACTGGCGATAGGCCACAGAAGGACGAGGAATATAAGATTGCGGTTTTACCGGCACCTACACCCACTAGTATGCCGAGCCTCGTGCCGGGAGGCAGCAGGGCGACTAGCCTCGATCCGGAACCTCGAAGCGCCGATGAAAGGCCGATCACCCGACGCCGCGCAAAGTCGCTCGAGAGCGTCAAGAGCTCGGATGTTGCAATAGTTCATGTCTTCGTTCAGCCAGTAACGCGCCCTTCCCAACCTCCGGAATCGACCGATGAAGAAGTCGTAGCGCAGTCTGTTGTCGAACACGTGTCAGTCATTTCGGCTCCGGCCCCGACACGTGGAGCTCGCCAGAACAAGCGAAAGATACCCTCCCGAAGCCAGTCTCAAGAATCTCGATATCCAAGGAAAAGACTCAAGCTCATCCGCTCTGCATCGTTTGGAGTGGACCAGCAAGCGCCTACTGGTACACTCGCCTCGATCGACGATATGAGACGGGACGTTGACGCTAGCGGGACCAAACTCAATCTCAGTCTCGGGCTCGGGGAGGCTTCGGTGGTGACAACCCCTCCACCAGCCGAATCCCAACCCAAAGTCTCGTCAAGCGCCATCACTACCGCTTCCGAGCATGATTGCCCGGAGATCATCGAAGATGTCAGCTTCGAAGAAGTACAAGCTATGTTGACCGTCATGAAAAGAGGCAAGGAGACAGGAACCAAGGTCGAGACGGTCGAGAAGCACGAGCCGCCTCAGACCCCCAAGAAACGGCTCTCTAGTGGCCTAAGCCAAATCAGCGTATGTCCCCTCCCCTCTTGTACATTATACTTTAAACAAGTCTAACTTGACCATGTTTTTCGATAGACCCCCTATTCGATTACTCCGATTCAGCTTACGCGCGATGATCCCGCATCTACGCCTGAAGCATCTCCGCCTTCCAAGATTTCATACAGCGAGATGAGGGTTAAAAAGAGAAAAGCGGAGGTGGGTAAATGAATGTAGTAAATTCCGTTTCATCGCCACTGACACATGTTTACAAATCGACAGGACGACAAGAGCACTCGCACCCTCAAAAAACCGTTCAAGACCCCGCTAGTCATGGGGAGAGCTCTTCACAAATACCTAGGCAATTCTTCCCCTCCTTTCATCGCCGATACGGATCTTCTCGAAACCCCCGCGTCATCATCGTCATCCAGCATCGTCACGGGTAACGCTAGCCTTCTGGACAAGAAGCCATTCCCAACGTTTGAGTCGGCGCATTCGAAACGATATATGACTAAGAGACTGGCGAGGCCGTTCAAATCGCCATCGTTCTCCTCGCCCATCTCTGAGCCTGATCCGCCTTCAAGCGATACAATCGACCCCCCTTCCAGCCCTACACATGTACCCGTGCGGCGTCCGAGAATGATGGTCGCTTCGACGGAAGCTACCAGCATCGCCCCTTCTAGAGCGTCCGAGATCACCGGTTTGGAAGTCCGCAAACAGGTCCTCACTCAGGCCTTGAAGACCATGAACAATCAGGCGGACGAGGAACGTCTATCGCAGCTGCACCTACAATGGTTGGCGGCCGGACGCGAGATATCGGAAAAGCTCTTTACTGTCGTGCCCGAACCTACCGAGGACGGTCACGGTCAGGAAGGCACTTCCAACAATGGTTCTTACTATCAGGATCCACCCAAGGTCAACCCCAGAATGGACGAGGACGAAGAGCAAGCGGCCGATACCAGCGCTGACGAGCCGAAAGTGAAGAAAGACTGGAACGTCGGTTCCATGCTGGACATGTTCGGAGTCGATCCTGCACTATTCGGTTGGAACGAGGAGTTGGAGGATTGGCAAGATTGAAGATCAGATTACCAGCAGAACAAATTGACCGGTTGATCAGCGTTTGATACGACCACAGTATACAGGCATGTCATCATATTATTCACGTCCGAAACCAGAACACCAGGACACAGGCAGTCTCTTCTACACATATATATACGATACATTTGTTGTCGCTTTGATACCGTAATACACTAATTGTCCTTGTGCCAAAACTCACTACCGTTGCTCAGACGGCTACTTGATACATGTTTATACGCGGGGACTCCGAATCTGGGAAAGCCGGACGGATGAAAGGGCAGGGAAAGACGAGTAAAGGCCTCGGGGCGTATGCGACGGGTCATGCTGGTGAGGGGATTATCAGTCGGATGATAGCGAACAGTGCCGCCCTGTTGGCGATCGTCGAACGCTTTGTATGTTGGTTGGTCCGGGCGAGATGATGTTGGGTGCGATTCCAGTATTGAGATCGCCCAGATTAATCTTTCGAGGCTGATGAGTCGGATCAGGTTAGGGAGTAGCCGAATTAGATCCCCTGTTCGGTCCTGTTGAGCATGGCAGCTTTTCTGGCGGCCATCCTTTCCACTATAGAGAAACCGAACGAGATCGAGGTCCAACTGCGATCAGCCGATCACGCTTGAAACTGTCAAACCCTTAAGGATTCTGCACGTAGAGTGAACTCACTACCGCTTTGTTTACCGGCCCTCCTACTTTGATCACGTTCGAGCTTTTCATGCTGCCATCTCGCTTCCATGTATTGTCGTTTCTGTCCCGATCGTAAACCGCGTCAAGATTATCAGCGATGCTCGGGAGGAGGGATGCGCACGGCCCGTTGCATCGTTGTCGTGCTGAAGAACATGTGAATACTCACGGTATATTCGAACAGAGCCAGGGTGTATTGGTACACCGGATGATCCTCGTCCACCTCGTCCTCATCCTGATCCTTGTCTGCATCCCCGTCTCTTCCTTTTCCCAGATCCTCATTCAACGTCTCTTCGCTCCCTTCCTCGTTATCGTTCTCACTGTCTTTCGCGGCTACATCGACGTCGACGCCCTCCAAGCTGTTCTGTTCCCCGTTTCCTGCACCCGGTCCGTTCATATTCGTCCCGTCCTTTCCCACCATACCGTCTTTCCCTAAACCTCCCGTCGATTCGTCATCATTCCCATTCTCTTTCGCGACATCCAAATCTTCAAACGCCTTGTCAACTCCGGCAATATCTACCGAACCCGTTCGCTGATTACCATCGTCGAGCTCGTGAGGTAGATCCAAGCTGTCCGTCGTCGACATCGAGTTCAAGGTCGTCGATGAGCCGATGGTGATCGACGAACATCGGGAAGCTTGACGGGATCGCTGACCCGAGTTCATGGGGGAGGTTGGAGAGGAAGGGTCCGAGTCCATGTTGGCAGAGTAATGGAGAGAGGTAGTTGGGAGTTTATGGGAGTAAGATATGTGATGTGGTTTGACGAGACGGAAAGAGAGCTGTAATACCGCTTGCCAGGCAGTCCGTCCCTAGATAACGATGGGTTATATACCCTTCTAGGTGTAACGTATTATGACGTCGGAAAAATCGAGAAACCCCCTTTTCCAGCCGAGCGTGACCCTGCCTTTGGCCTTTGAGCAGATGAAATGAGAAAGGTCCTTTGGATTCCAGCAAACCCGTTCCCTATCCTGCCTGCCTTCTCTGCGAGAGCGATCCACCTTTGAAGGCGATTGTCGAGAAGGATGGATGGATTGATTGCTGATGGCTTTTTGAGATTAGCTGATCGGTTGGTTACGTTGGGCTCCACAGACGAAGGGGCGGGGCAACGACCAAACCTCGTGGGTCGAGAGGGATGACGCGCAGGAAATAACTCGATATAACCCGAGGTCTCTCAACGCCGAGACGCTAGGGCTAGGTCTGTCTGTCTGGAAGTCACACGATCAGAGGTCACTAGAGATCCTAAAGAGGACAACATACATGGATACACGATGATATACTCTGAACTCTCTGCTTTCCCCCAAAAACACCGCCACCTCAGCCTCTGGCGGATACTCACCCGCTCGATCCTCCTCCACCTCGTTCTCGTCTTCTGCCGCCGGTTGATGATGATGATGATGGCGAAATGGGAACCCAACCGGTATGACGCGCATGCGCCACCATACCCCCGGGATCAAACTCTTTGTTGTCGTCCGATTCGTCGGGGAAGGGTTACAGCCGATCTGAACCGAGACCGCGGCTCCGAGTGGCATGATGGGGAGGTCAAACCGGTGGTAGGTGTGCTGTATGGGGTTGGTCGAGCCACAAATGAACAAACGAAGGAAGGTTTAGTTGCAATCTCGTCGGTCGCGAATCAGTAGCGGCCAGTCGAGTCGAAGAAAGCGCCAGACAAAGGGCATCTTGGTAAAGTTAAGGTGGCTGCTTATATACAGTATTTTTGACGATCTACAACATCAATCTTCTTACTGGTCTATCGGCTAGGATGCGCGCCTCTCAATAATCTTCGACAGATCTTGTGCTCGCGCGAGGGCGGGGTTCGACTCCCCGGTAGGAAATATCTTTTTGCTTCAGTTCTTTCTTTTTCGGGTTTCCCCCTTTCTCCGCGCCACGGCAGCCCTTATCTTTCGGCGGTCATCTTCTGGGCCGACAAGACCGCGATGTCCGAATCGGACGACTGTCTCACATGGGCTTGGTCAAGGAAATATTCGAGATTTCGATCAGTTTCTCGCAATTCCATCATCGAAGCGAGAGCGAAATCACCTCAGGCCTCGGGCTTAGATAGGAGACAAGGTACTTATACGATCAATAGTGTCAAGATGATGGAGAACGCTTTTGCCTTCATCCCCTCTCTCTCTTTTCCCTACACCAACACACTATATTGTATCAAAATCCCCCATCCCCGAATCACTTGCCCCTTCCAACATGCCTTCCGCCATACACCATGACGACGTCGTACCAACGGCAATTCCCCTCAAACTCTCGGAGGACGGTATGGCGATCAATTACGATGACCCGACCGCCTGGAACGTTACTGCTGCACCCGCTGTCGTGAGTTCTTCATGCTCAGCGTTTCCTCCTTGTTCCGACTGACACCCCTCGTCATCGCCCATCATTCCAACAGTACCGATCAAAGAACAAGATCCGCTCGGTGGTCGCTGGCCTCGACCTCACTCACACCTCTTCCACCAAACCGTTGATCAACCTCGGACTGGGAGATCCGACCGTCTTCAACCTACACCCGCCTTCGGAAGCATCGATCAGCGCCGTGCAAGAAGCATTGCTGTCGGGTGGGGCGAATGGGTATGTCCCTGGAACGGGAGATCGAGCAGCTTGTGCGGCTGTGGCTAGATATCATCAGAAGTGGGATGGAGTGAGCTACCAGGCCGAGGATGTCACGCTAGTGAGCACAACGATAGCAATAGCATACCCGATCCGTCCCTTGCTGTTCGATGCTGATCATATTATTATTGTTGCGACGCGACTTTAGTGTCACGGCGCGACTCACGCCCTCGACATGTGTTTCTCGATCATGACCTCTCCTGGGCACAACGTCCTCATCCCCTCGCCCGGCTTCCCCGCCTACGAGACCTTGCTCGGGAACATTCAAGATTGCGAGATCAGGACATACGAATGTCTGCCGGACAGGGGGTGGGAGTGCGATGTCGAACAGATGGAGAGTTTGGTAGACGACAAAACTTCGTTTGTGTTGATTGTGAGTCTCCGAAGTGGCCGGACGGCCTCGGAGAGTAACGCTGTGAGATTCGGCGCTGAACTGGCGATGTCTTGCCCTCTTTCGATCTAGACAAACCCTAGTAATCCCTGCGGGAACAACATGCACCCCGACCATCTGCGCCGGATCGTCGCTCTGGCCGAACGCAAAAAGATCATGATCATTGCTGACGAGGTGAGATCGCGCTCGAGACTGCTGGAACATTGATCGACACGAAGCTCAGCTCGCCTTGGTATCATTCAGATCTACGGGCACATGCAATGGTCCGAGCACCCCTTCGTCCCGCTCGCCTCCCTCTCCACCCAAGTCCCTATCGTCACCCTCTCGGGCCTCTCGAAGCGTTTCCTCTTGCCAGGATGGCGATTCGGCTGGATCGTACTGCACGACCCATCCAATCACGCCCATGCCATCCGACACGCTCTCCACTGTTGGGGCAACCGGATCATGGGCCCGTGCAGCCTGATCCAGAAGGCTCTTCCGAGGATCTTGGACGAGACTCCGGACGCATGGTTCAAAGAGGTCGTCGGCAAGCTCGAGAACAATGCCATAACGTGTTATGACCGCCTGACCAGGATACCCGGATTGTACTGCACTTTCCCCACGGCGGCCATGTACCTCTTGCTCGGGATCGACATTTCGCACTTTCCCGAGTTTGATTCGGACGTGGATTTCTGCTCGGCGCTCGTTAAGGAACAAGCTCTGTTCTGTATCCCGGGCCAGTCGTTTGGGATCGACAATCACATGCGGTTGGTGATCGCTGCGCCTAACGCGGTGCTCGTCGATGCTTGTGAGCGGTTGGAGGAGTTTTGTCTGAAGCATTACGTCTAGGCAATGGACGTTGCCCATGTAATGCTCGATAGAGGATAGAACAGTCTGCGACACTGTATTACCCATGTATCTAGAGGATAGAGGATATCATACCATCTCTGCATTTCAGTTTCGAACTTTGCGCCAGTGGTGCCTACAAGATCACCTTCCCGCGGAAGCCCACGACCCATTCTCGCTCGAAGGCCCCCTTAGCATGGTCTTGCCTCATGCGGCCGGAAATCCCTTCAGATATGGAAGGGCAAAAAAGGATGATGAGAAAAAAGTCTGCGTTAAATGGGCAAAAAGGTAATTTCCTACCGGGGAGTCGAACCCCGCCCTCGCGCGATCAATCTGATGAAGATGAGAGGCGCGCATCCTAGCCGATAGACGAGTAAGAATTGTATGTTTGGTATTTGCATAGTCAAAACATAAAATACTATACATCATTATCGTTTGCTCATTAGCCTGACGTTACTCTTTGCGGCTCCCCTGCCTCAGAAACAGGCCGTCACGGCTTCGACGTTCTCGTCAGGTCTTGAACGACATATCTCAAGAACAAACCGCTACAACGGATACAAGGCCGTCCGGTCCTCCTTCTCAGCATGCCGTATCTAATCCTCGAGCCATTTACTGGACTGCTTGAGGTATTTCGTCTGGCAAAGACAGGCAAGAGTCTCAGCTCCCAAATGTGATCTTGTTTAGTTCGAGTCACGACGTTGAACTCACCAGCAAGAACCCGACGTCTTGTAATACAAAGGTCATGATAAAATTGGACATGAAGTCCGAAAGACGCCGTAGTCTCGTCTCGATGTGATTCCGGTAATCGGAAGAAAGCGCCTGATATGCAGCGGTGGACGGTCCCGTGAAGCACGCAAGGTGGCGGTCTAGAGGGACGACGACGGGAACGATCAGCACCGATCTCGGCTGTCATCGATCATTCAGGCTTACCGATCACTTGGGCCTCGAGGCACAGGCGGCTGAGACTGTCGACATAGGCTGTTGGCGAGTCCACACTGAGAGACGTATTGGGATTCAGTACCAGGCGTCATGAGCACAGGTCGGCCAAGGAACTTACTTTTTGCCAGTGGCAATCCTGTCAAAGGTCTTGGTCAATTTACTTCCCAGAACGCTGATCCCGGTCTGGATTGCAACAGGTAAGCGAATTGGTTTCTGGAACGACAACCTGGCCTTCACAACAACTCACCGTGGACATCTTTTTACTCTTAACGCTACTCGTATAAGCTTTCAGCCCTAGCTTCTTGTTCAACAGCTTCTCCATCTCGTCTAGTAGCCCGTCCGTGTCGTCGAGTGACCTGACAAAGTCTTTTGCCCTAGATGGCCCATCCGTCCGGGTTCTTTGCAACTTTATTGTCCCGTCATCATGGCCGAGCGGATCATCAGCAATGAGGGCGTGTCCGTATCTCGCGAGCGACGAGGAGCTGAGGATGAGGACCTCTATCACGCGGACCTTGACGTCCAGCGAGACCAGCTTGACAGTCGCCTGGCTCCAGATCGCTCTAGGTATGTGAAGTCGACTGCTGAGGAATCCACCTGACGGCGAGACGATGGTATGCCGGAGCAGCCGCAACACATGGAACGGTCGATGGACAGGATTCGCTGGCGGAGGCTCGGTGGCAGACGAGGGCAACGATGGACCTTGTCCGAGCTGATCGCCCTGGCGCAAGGTTGGTGAATGGAGCGTCACTTCCTGTACGTCGGGTGAATCTGATACCATCAGGGTCGTGGTCGACACCGAAGCAGCGGAAGCGGCGTATTGCATAGTGCTCGGACCGCTGGTGTCGATGGTAAGAGCCCTAGGAGGGGGTGGTGGGGGCAACATGGATCCCGTTTGGTCGAGAGACACTTGCGGGCTTCTCAGTGGACTTGGTAATGGCGGTGCGTCCGAGGCGTCGAAGGTGTCTCGTCCTGAAGCCCTTCCCGCTGACGGCTGCGAGACCGCTCGGCTTCGTGGTGTCACTTGCTGGAACGGAGACAACGTCGCATCGGTCAAACCGGGAGAGGGGAAGGGCGCTTGGCGATGAGTTGAATATGCGTTACTTGTGACAGGAGCACGGGAGTTTGATAGCGATGTCGTTCGCCGCGTCGAAAGGCTCTTAGGGTCGACCATCTCGTACGAAGTCTCGCCTTCCTCGACGACTGATGCAATGGATCTGCCCTTTTCGTGCCCCTTGATCCCTAAGACCGAACTGGATCGCTCGGGCGGCAGAGTCTGGAGATCTTGCATATAGTTGTCTTGCAGGCTCGCTGACCTTGGCGAGATGCTCGGAGCGTTCAACCCCATCAATGACGATCTACCGCTCCGAGAAGAGCTCGAATCTGGCAGGGATGACGAGTTCGAATATCCTCTGCTCGGCTCGTACCGATTCGTCCCATTCTCTAGGCTCGGGAATCCCTCGGCGTAGGGTGTACGATCAAGGACTTCCTCTGTTTCCTGATCAGACACTTCCGCCTCGAGCCCTAATGTCGGGTGAGCCGTACGAAGCCGTAAGCGACGTTCCGAATTTCGCTGCGAACTGGATCCCGAGGTCACGGTGCTGATACTTTTACTAGAGGGTGACCCGAGCGTGGACATGCTAGTAATCGAAGCGTTGGAGACGTGCAAAGACGCTCTTGTTGTTGATGCGCCCAATTCTGCCGACCCGCTGAGTGAGGAGTCAATCCGGGACGTGCCTACGACGGGTCCTAGCGAGACAGGCACTCCGTTTACTCTGGGAATCTGTTCATCGAAATTACTCTTCACATGCTCGATACCGCTGTCGGGTCCCGTTCTAGACGAAGTTCTCGGTCGAGGTATCGGTGGACTCTGGATCGCGGGGGGATAATACGCATTGACATCGGCGTCCAGGGAATCTCGACGGAAACCCACCGAACCGTTCCCTCCGATGGCTTCGACCAACTGTTCCCCGGATCGCAAGCTCTTCCTCTTTGACCGGTTGTCCGATGCGTGCGAGGTGCGACCATTTGGTGATGAGGCCTGGTCTGGTCCATCCGTCGCCAACATCATTCTGCCGATCCCTGTTGGGCCAGTGCTGGTTTCTGACGATCGACCCGAGGGCCTCGCAGTCACCTCGTCCGAGTCCAAAGTCGCCTCGGACGGTTCACCGGTGGCCTGAGGCGGGTTTCCCTCCTGCAGACCTCGTTCCATTACCACCAGCAAGCCTATTCGAGAGATGTACGCATCGTGCTGCAGTACCAAAAAGTTCAGGTGTGTGTTCTATCACTCCTCGCAGCCCGACCCCTCGCCAATGTGCCACTCACGATACCCTTCAAGATCTTGCCCTCCTCTCCACTTCTATGCCCACTGGCTTCCCTCCTCCTCCTCGCTTGGGCAATGTCCTCCTTTTCCGAATCCGTAGGTTCGGGTAACCCTAACCCCACGGGCAACGGCCCCAACTCGATGCCGACCCTTTCCATCACACACCTCAACCTGCCCACAGCGTCTCGGTACATGGCCAGCGCACCCAGGACGTCATTCGCCTTGTCACACTGGACAGCCTTTTCCGCCAGGTCGAGAGCAGATTGGAGGAGGTCTTTTGAGGGGATTCGGCTCCTCCTTGCAGGGGCAGCGGGGACGGGGAGACGGGCGAGCGGGGTGACCGTTTGTGGCGAGGTGTGCAGGTTGCTTGGGTCGTGGAGAGGGCCGGGATTATGGGCAAACTGTCTCTCTCGGGTAAGCAGGGGGTTGGGTTGTGGGTGCAACGTCGGAGTTGTCTGCAAGTATGGCGAGACGGCGTGTCCGATCGAGCTCGTAGTTCGGCTGGAAGAGACCGACGAGTTTCTCGCCCGGTGCGTAAGGGGTGGAACGGGCGGTAGTTCCGTGGCTATCAAGGCGGCACATTGACTAAACATCAGCTTCAATTCTTAGCTGGATCGACGTTCTCAACGGCACTGACGAGGTGGGCCCTGAGGCGGAGGAGATCTCGGCACTCTCTTGAACGACCTCGATCCTGAACTCGACCCCTCGGCCTCGGTTCTCCTCTCGGCCTTGTCCCTCCTACCCTCGTTTGAATAATCCCCAGGTAACGTCCCTTCCCCGTAGGCCATCATCCTCAACGCATCCTCTTCTTCTTCCCTCCGGTCATCCTGCTCGTTACTATCATATCCTCCGGGGAAGTAGGCGGAGGAGGCCGTGCTCGTGCTCCTTTCCCGGATAGGACTTCTAGCGAATGGGTGCATCGTTGTCATGGTCCCATAAACAGGTTCAAGAGTCGTATATGAATGGATTCTGTTCCGATCCACTTTGGCGTGAAGCGCCTAGGCTCTAGTCGCTGGATGAACTAGTCGTTCGGAAGAGAGACTCTCAGAGCCTATGTCTACCCATCATTTCGAGTTCGAGGTCGCGTTTTCGACAGAAGGGTAGTTGTAGCTACTTGACCCGATCGAGCTCTGTTCCTCTTGCTTCCTGATATTGAGATCCAGTGTTTTGTGCTGAGGGAAGAGCTCGGACCTTGTTGCTGACTTTGGTCGAGCTTGTCGAAGTGCCAAGATATCCCCCGACCGGTGTTTGGGAGTGTTGTTGATGGTCGATTGCGGGATCTCCCTCCAATCTGCCCTACCTGAATGATTCGGCGGGCCCGCGAAGCAATCGATCGTGCTTCACAGTCCAAGGGCAGTGCTTGCTATGATTATGAGCTCAGGGAAAGCTGTTGAGCGGGGTGGCCATGATGGCTGGTCGTAATTGCGTAGAAGTCAACCAGCAACCAGCTAGCCAATTCAAGGTGCAAGGTGGTTGTCCGACCGAACTCCCTCGCGCTAGTTCATCGGGAACTGGGGGTAGGAGACAGCGACCGACGGGACGACGACTACGACCATCCATCACATCATGTGAACCATACAGACTCTCGGTTCTCTGTGAGCAGAACGACCCTACCACAATCGGACTCCCGTCTGCCTGCTCGATTGGGATCATATCGTAATTACGGAAATCCTTCGACGACGAAAGGACATCGCCTGCGGATCTCGGCCCGGCAAGACGACCTTTAGGTTTCGACGACGAGCGTCCGGCGAGAGTCCTCACACCAAACCATAGTAGCATCGTTCTCATGTCCTGTACAACATCAAAGCATCCCACAAACAGCCCAAACGGTCTACACTTGTCTTCCTGGTGACATCTCATACTGATCCAGCGTCTCCTGATAAGCCAAAGGGACCCCGAAAGGGAGGTAGACGCTCCTCGGTCTAGCCCCCGTTGATGTGGTGGGGGGTCCCGGTGCGTCCGGTCTCATATATTCGTTGTGTTGCGGCCTATGCGATCGAAGACTGGAAGGTCGTAAGATGGATACAATATACAGGTTAGCATCGGTTCAATGTTTCCGTTACGCCCGGAAATTTGGCCAGGACTTGCATTGCAGATTCTGGTAGAAGAGGCAAAGTTTCGCTCACTCGGACGTTTGATGATCTCGATCTTCCCTCTGTCCTGCCCCTGTCTCAAGCTCGACAGTTCCCCCGCCCTGACCTGTCGCCCTCACCACTCCGGGGGAGACCGGCTCTTTCCCCTTCTTCGTCCACGTCTTGGACATGGCGGGTTTAGTGGCCATCAGCTTGAACGAGGAGAACCAGCCCCGATTAGTCGAGGTTGCTGTCGGTGTCGTTGGGGAGGGATTTTCGATCGGGGCGGGAGGTAAGGAACGGTCGGGTCGTTGCATGTTATGATATGATATGGTCGATAGGTGGTAGGTTGGCGCGATAGGTGTTCAGACTACAGAGGCTCGACGAGGGGATGGTGAACAGCGTTGTGTGGTGGTCCGAGAGGTATTTGAGGAGAACGACAACTTGTTCGAATGGAAACGCCAACTGCCTATCGTCATGAGCGTATCCATCCTTTCTGCGTGAGATCAGTTAAAGTCCTTTTAAATACCTCGCCCCTTCTTTCGTGTTTGTTTGTTTATCTGTTTGTTGTTCGTCGGATGATCTTTCCATTCCATCAAAGGATCTTCGGTCACCTCTTCGCCTCCCTGCGCGCCTCGTGGCGTGGCCCTCTCCGCGTTTCAGGTAGATCAACCATTCATCGCATCACGCGTCTCTCACTTTTTACACATGGCGATCACAACAACGGTTCAAATCGTACACAGCCGTACAGGCCACATCGAGATCCGTATTCAAACACTACCACCCAGGTATCAGGAGAGGCGATGTTTGACTGTAAAAATTTGTTTCGGATACTGACTTGGTGTGTGGCTGATCTACACCTCGGGTGTTCCTGCCTCTTCCCTGGACGGACCGATTCAGGTCGCAACCGCTGTACAATTGGACACGGGTCTGCAATTTCCTAATTCCTGTACATATATATACCGAACAAATATCGACATACGTTTTTCACTCATCCACACCTCGTCCCAACTTCCGTGACGTCGGACCTAAATCTAGACAGAGTACGCCGTTAGTGTATGTGACTGTATGGAGCCAAGATGCGGCAATTAGGTACGACGTGACTTGTCGTTGCGATATGCGAGGGGGCTGGCGAGAGTTGACGATTTGATGATCGAGTAACATGGTTGTTGCGTAATTTGCAAGGCGGTTGATTGTCATAGGGAGTCGAACAAGCCCAAATCACTGCTCAGATATAGCCCCAATGATCTCAAAGCCAGAGCGGGTGATTCGCGCTTGCTTTCTCAAAATTCCAAACGAACTTTGTCGATTACGCCTCGGCTCTTGTCGCATGGGCGTGGGAGGGTCAGAGAGATGGTTTTGTGTACGTGCTTTAAAAGAGGCAAGTGTGGTAAATACAGGTGCCGTTGTACTGGCTGCGAGTCCCTTGCTGGATTTCTCGTTTGGATCTGGCCGACAGTTGTTGGTAGCCGCTGTCGTCGACAGGTAATTCCAGGTCGAGGTCGCTAACGGCAACACCTGCAACTATCGCCTGGACGCACTCTATCCTATATTCGCCATCACCAACTGGCCACTCGAATGCTAATTGTTGAGACTAGGATGATGTCAGGTCCGGTGAGGACCTCCGGCCTCGCGCACTTTGCCCAGAGCTTGAAGACCTTTGCGAAGCGATCGGATCGACCGACAAGGGCAAAGGCGGGAATTCCGATCACTTCCCACCATACTTTACTTTGTGTATGAACCCCATCTATCGAGAATACAAATTCGGTCTGCAACGTTCCTCCCTCACTTGCCCTCATCAACCAAAACCTTGAAATCCCCCAAACTGTTGACGATGTAGGTAGGCACCGTCGACGATTTCTTGGGTCCAAGCAGGTGGTCCTCGTTCGTCACTCCTGCAAGACCCACAACATCGACAAATCAGCCCAAAGTTTCACATGCACTTTGTAAACCGAACGAGTCGCCTTCTCACCCGTCATCGTCAACAACGTCTCGATCCCCGAGTTCTGCCCAAACAAGATGTCCGTCTCCAAGTTGTCCCCGACCATGATCGTCCTGCTCCGATCGAAATCCTTGGAGGCGAGGATGGCGTCCATCATGTGACTGTTCGGTTTCCCAATCACCGTCGGGGTCATCTTGGTCGAGTACACTAGCGGGGCGGACATGGCCCCCGATCCTGGGTAAAATTCACCGCCAGAGGGGAAGGTGGCGTCGGTGTTGGTCAGGATAAAGTGGCAGCCGGGGTTCTTAGTCAGGTAGGTGTGGGCTTTGGAGTACTTCTTGTAGTCTAGGGAAATGTCCGGGGTGTAGCGGATCAGTCGGCAAATTGCGGATGTAAACGAGATGTACGTGCAACTCACTGACAAAGGCGTCGAAGCCGCAGAGGACGGCACCAACTGAAGGATCCGGTGTGACAGCGGTGTAATCCTTGGCAGGCATGTACTCCATCTCCGCCGGGTCCTACCAAACATCAAGTTACGACCGTTCAGTTCGCTGCTATAGTCTCTTGCGACCCAAAACGAAGCCTTTATTGACTCACCGAACCCCCACAATGCGCCACACCGACCGCATCGAGCTCCTCCTCGAGACCCTTCATACCGATCACATACACCTTCTTGTCCTTGGGGAAATCGAGGATCTTGGCGAGGTACAGCGCCGAGGCGAAGCCCGAGTTGAAAAGCTCGTCCTAAGCACGTTCGTGAATAGTAAAGGACGATTCAGTATTCGTCGGAGGACCCTCAAGAGCACCCGAATGTGACGCTGGACTGACATCGGTGGTGTCAATCCCGAAATCGTCAAAGGTCTTTTTGTACATCGGTCGGCTCTTGCTGGCGTTGTTCGAGACGAACAGGACGTTCTTGCCTGTCATTACCATTGCACGATCAGCATGCTATACAATTTTGATGCATGTATACAAACGAGCGACACGACGACCCACCCTTTGTTCGCAGCCAAGCGATGACCTCCCTGACACCCGGGATGAGCTTGGGACCGGACCAGATGACGCCATCGCAGTCAAAGAGAAAGGTATCAAACTTGTCGATGAGCGAGGCATAGTCCTGCGCGGTCGTCAGACGTTTGCTCTCGGTAGTGTCGGACATTTTGATGGCGATACCTTGGTATGATGGTCGAGGTCTTTACTAGTTAGCTAGTTGCTAGTTGCTAGTTGATTAGGCAGGAAATGACTTGAATCACTTCGAGCTCTGGGTGGAGGTCGGTCCGGTATGCGAAGGGGCCTTGGGGGGCGACGTGTACATAGCTCTGGGTCGCGGACATCAGAATGTTTCCCTTCTCTTCCCTTCCCCTTTGCCCTCTCCATGTCCGCGTGCGCGCGTCTCTGTTTGAATTTCCCATTTTCGATTCTCCCACATCGCACCAAAAGATTCGACGACACACAGTGGAGAGAGCCCAGATCGGACGACATCATCGACGACAGCGGCATAGCTAGAGCTAGAGATCATCCTCACCAACAAGGCGTCTCGAATAGTCAGACTTTGACTATAGCTGTAGATCTCTCGGGAAACGACACCAAAAAGGACCGATACCACCTACCACAACTAACACCCTCTGCACAACATGTTGGTTCTCGCCGAGACTTCTGTCGGTACGTTCAGGTCGGCCACCAGCATCGTTATCGTGAATCCCTGAACTAACCTTGCCGGGTCGCTAGGATTCTGTCTGTTCAAGTTGAACGACGATGCCAAGCTCGAGAGCAAGGACTTGTGGAAGTCGTTCGAGTCGCCCGAGTTGGCTACCGCCGCGTGAGTCGCTTGTCATACTAATCACAGGCTTAATCTGCACTCGGATGTTGACAATCATTACTATCTCTGCGTCCAAAATCACAGCCTGAACCTCGAGGCTATTCACCGATTCCAATCGACCGCCTCGGCCGTCGAGGACATTACCGCCATCCAGGACGGCCGTCTCTCCGACACCCTCAAAAACTTCCTCTCCGAATCCATCCCCTCTTCCTCCTCATCCAACGGCGAGTCATCGAAAAAGAGCAAAAAGTCGAAATCCTCGTCTTTGGAACAGAAACTCATCGTTTCGGACCCCAAGTTGGCGGGGACCATCTCCAAGGCGCTCAGCATCCCCGTTCACAGCGATACCAGCTCGGGCTTGCAGGATCTGTACCGAGGAATCAGGACCCAGTTGTCGGCCTTGTTGGGAGGAGTGCAGGAGACGGATTTGGGGACCATGAGGTTGGGTCTCGGGCACAGTTTGTCCAGGTGAGTTCGGCGGGAGCAACGGGAGAATAGGCAACGACGGGCGGGCTGATTGACAAGGGACGCCTTGCAGGTTCAAGCTCAAGTTCTCGACCGACCGAGTCGACACGATGGTCATCCAGGCCATCGCCTTGCTCGACGACCTCGACAAGGAGATCAACATTTACAGCATGCGAGTCAAGGTGAGCGCAAATTGCAGGGTTTTCAATATTACGGCGCCTCATTGACGCCGAACGTGTCGCTAGGAATGGTACGGATGGCATTTCCCGGAAATGGGCAAGATCATCGCCGATAACCTCGCCTACGCCAAGTGTGTCAAGGCCATGGGTTTCCGAACAAACGCCTCCTCGACCGACTTTGGCCTCATCCTCCCCGAAGAGCTCGAAAACACGCTCAAGGCCGCCGCCGAGATTTCGATGGGAACGGAAATTTCCGACTCGGATATCGACCACATCCACTCGCTCTGCGACCAGGTCATCTCGATCACCGAGTACCGTAAAGAGCTCTCGCAGTACTTGACCAACAGGATGGAAGCCATGGCGCCCAACTTGACCGCCATCGTCGGCGAACTTGTCGGTGCGCGATTGATCAGCCACGCCGGAAGTCTCAACAACCTGGCCAAGTTCCCCGCCAGTACCATCCAGATCTTGGGTGCCGAAAAGGCCTTGTTCCGAGCGCTCAAGACCAAGCACGATACCCCCAAGTACGGGCTCATCTACCACGCCTCGTTGATCGGAGGTGCACCTCAAAAGCTCAAGGGAAAGATGGCCCGTATGGTCGCGACCAAGACGGCGCTCTCGATCCGTGTCGACGCTCTCGCCGACGCCGAAACCAAGGCGAACCCGGCTGCCGCAAGGATCGGGTCAGACAACAGGGAAAAGCTCGCATCTCGACTCCGAGCGTTGGAGCGTTCGTTGGGTCTCCCACCGACGTATATCCGGGCCGATCGACGAGAACAGGCCAAGTACGACCTCGGCGGGGACAATGTTGCCGCGTACAATGATGCTGCGGATGAGCAGTTGATCAAGACGCAGCCGCAAGAGGCCGCCATGGAGATTGTCAGGGAGGTCAAGGAGGAAAAGGCCGCCGACAAGAAGGACAAGAAGAAGAAGAGGTGAGGCGCCGCGAGAATTTGGTGTCCGTTCTCACTACATGTGCTAATGACCTTTTGGCACGTTCCCCCTTCAGGAAATCGGAGGCCCCCGCTGGTGATGTGACTATGGAGGTCGACGGCGAGGGTGACATCGAGGGAGAGACCAAGGAGCAGAAGAAGGCTCGGAAAGAGGCCAAGAAGCAGGTGAGCGACGTCGCATTCCTACAATCACCGTCACATAGACTGATCTTTATGCTTCACCTTTCAGGCCAAGGCGCTCGCCAAGGCATCGGGCGACCTTTCGACATCGACCGCCGTAATTCCCGAGACCCCGGCAGCAAACCTGTCCGTGTCAAACGGAGCCAACGAGGACAAGAAGGAGAAGAAGAGCAAGAAGAGACGGGCGAGCGAGGTCGACGGCGGGGCCGAGGCTAACGGAGACAAGGAAAAGAAGAAGAAGAAGAAGAGCAAGGATTAGTCGATCCTTGGTCTCTTTTCTTTTGTCCCCATTTACCACCCCTTTCGCATACTCGCCTTCTCTCCCTTTGCCCTGGCGATCACACGGGCGAACGGCGGGTTGTTGTAGCACGATCTTTCTGTCCTGCCTTGTCTTGCCCTTTTGTACCTTTATGAGCCTGCCGAAGAATACATCCATGCTTACAAACATTGGTTGCTGATGAGGAAGGAGAGCAGTCGCATCGACTGCCACCCTTTGTCTTGTCCGAAGAGCAAGTCCGACCACAACCGTCGTCGCTTTTTCCTCACCGCCTTGCGCGGTCATCGACCCTTGACGGCAGACTCTTCACAGAAAAACCACACGGTAGTTGAATCTCAAGGAGATGTGACGATTTGCCACTGCATAAAAACGGCGCGCTTGACGCTTGGCTTGCGTCCGCCACCTGGACAACACGGGAAAGGATGGCCACCGGTACCTATGAAGTTGCTGTACGTCTTAAAGGGACAGACAGAAATTGAAAGATGTCGACAGTGGTCATATTCTTCATAAGATCACTTGTATTTCATGCTAAACAAGGTGACTTACCTTTCTGGTCATCCCTTGGACAGGCCATCTGTAACCAATGTTGGCGACATTCAGAACATTTCCACGCGCGACTCGCAACATTGATTGACCTCCCAGGATGGCATGTCTCAATGACCAGGACAAATGTGCCCCTGGAAGACAGTGCACCTCAGTGTCAAGTTGAGTTTGGTCTGGGAAAGACCAACGCGCACACATTCGATTTCATACCCTTCCGCGTACCTCGCATGACCCTGATTTGGAAGAGAGGCGAGCGCGGCTCAACCTTACGGTCCCACCTGTTCATTGGCCAACAATCAAATCAAATCGATTTGATTGAAGAGAAATCGGCAGCTATACACTTCTCTTCAGGCAGTTGTTTGTCCCGGACCTTGAGATCCCTTAATCACGAGTGTAGATAAAGCTTGTGATCTAGTGAAGCTGATAATCGCATGGGACCGACTCGCGACAGCCGGCAGGCTGACTCTTCAGTCCATCAAGGGTCCTTGCGCTTGGGATCTTGCGCAGCAGCTAGTACGTAGTACATGTGAGCGGCGTCAACAACCGGAAGGGTACAATGTAACTAGAGCTGACTTGCATGGACTGCAACGTTACCAAGGCTTCTTCAATTGTTACAGGCGCGAGGGCAAAGGGTCCGGATTTGCAGACGCCGATCATGTCGATCCACTAAGCAGGTGGTATTCAACGGTGTAGCGAGACACGCAGCGGCGCGGAGCGACTGACTAGGGCAATTGGTGACGTGATTGAACATGAAGGGCAACTCGGTGATGTGGAAGAGTGCTCCGAGCGCGTCCGACCGCGCTGTCAAGTCATGGTTTCCATTGGCCGACGGTCACGAGCTGGCTGACGAAAGATGAGGGAAATTCGGCGACAGTAAACGCGGAGCTGGATGACGAATCGCGGAGGAATTGGATTGATAGTATCTAAGAGAAGATGAAAGGGGGCAAGATGGAGGGATGTATGGGATGATGAACTTGATGTGGGGAGAAAGAGAGGGAGGGAGAGCCGCGCGAAGCGCGGCAAATTTTGGGTGTCATCCTGTTGAGTTGATTTCGGTGATCGACATGTCATGATCCGTATTGAAATAGGGACGCCAGCTTGGTGTAGTGTATCATCCTGTACTTGTAGCAATGGACCTAGCATTGGTTGGGCAGGCATGGACCAAGCAATGATTGACGACCCGTCTTGGGTGTCATCCTGTTGAGTTGATTTCGGTGATCGACATGTCATGATCCGTATTGAAATAGGGACGCCAGCTTGGTGTAGTGTATCATCCTGTACTTGTAGCAATGGACCTAGCATTGGTTGGGCAGGCATGGACCAAGCAATGATTGACGACCCGTCTTGGGTGTCATCCTGTTGAGTTGATTTCGGTGATCGACATGTCATGATCCGTATTGAAATAGGGACGCCAGCTTGGTGTAGTGTATCATCCTGTACTTGTAGCAATGGACCTAGCATTGGTTGGGCAGGCATGGACCAAGCAATGATTGACGACCCGTCTTGGGTGTCATCCTGTTGAGTTGATTTCGGTGATCGACATGTCATGATCCGTATTGAAATAGGGACGCCAGCTTGGTGTAGTGTATCATCCTGTACTTGTAGCAATGGACCTAGCATTGGTTGGGCAGGCATGGACCAAGCAATGATTGACGACCCGTCTTGGGTGTCATCCTGTTGAGTTGATTTCGGTGATCGACATGTCATGATCCGTATTGAAATAGGGACGCCAGCTTGGTGTAGTGTATCATCCTGTACTTGTAGCAATGGACCTAGCATTGGTTGGGCAGGCATGGACCAAGCAATGATTGACGACCCGTCTTGGGTGTCATCCTGTTGAGTTGATTTCGGTGATCGACATGTCATGATCCGTATTGAAATAGGGACGCCAGCTTGGTGTAGTGTATCATCCTGTACTTGTAGCAATGGACCTAGCATTGGTTGGGCAGGCATGGACCAAGCAATGATTGACGACCCGTCTTGGGTGTCATCCTGTTGAGTTGATATAAGGCCTGGCAGCCGACCTGCCGGGTCTTGAGGTAATAAGGTCGCGGGACTGGGGAAAGGTAACGGTAGGCATAGCAATGTAATAACGGATGTCTAACTACTACAAGGTACTAGTTAGACGTCTGCGAGAACATCTCCTAAAAGGTCTCCGAGAGGGTCTCCGAGAGGGTCTCCGAACGGACCTCCGTACGAGGTGAAAACCTACATCCCGCGCGTGTACGACATGCGTACCGCGGATGCCTATAATAGGATCCCCCCCTTAGGGCGAGATTCCAGATTGCCCAAAGTAGTCGAGTAGTCCGAGGCTAGATTAGACGTTTCATCTTGGAGCCCTTTGTCCCCTCAAAACGTCCAGTGTCTGTACCCTCGCGACTCTCCTCACGTCTCCGCTCTATTGTCCCCGAAGAGATCGCCTAGAACCTTCGATTTGTACGTCTAGGTACACTGGTTCTCTCTGAAACACTGCTCGGCGCCCGTGGGTGCTGCAATGAAGAACCTATTGTCTATCGGTGTCGTCGACCCGTCTGAAACGTCCAGCCGCCGACGATGACGCGTCGCGCGTCGATTTCCTATTGTCTCCCCCGCGGACATCGCAACATGGTCCTGTCCGCGGTATTGTTCGTTGATGTAAACAAAGGTGATGTCGTATGTATCGACGTCCTTTCCAACCGATATCGCTGTATTCTCTTTGTCGTGTTCGACGTAACGACTTCTTGCTTTGTCCTAGTAGTTGCTACCTAGGTTTCTTTTGTCTTGTTCTCGAAATGTGAAAGGTATAAGACCCCCGAGGGGGTTTGTCGACTTGATGTTTTTCGACGTACGTATCCTTTCACCTCTAGCAAACCTATAGCTTACTACCTTTCGTATCTTTTACCCGTTCACATCTATCGTCAACTATGCCTTCTCCTCCCCCTCCTCCTGCTCCTCCCCCTCCCGTTCTCTGTCCCCGGCTTGTACTCCAACGTGTACGAGATTTGGTTCAGCAGCTGAGACCATCTCGCTTGTCGGTTGGACAACACCTTGTCCTTCTTGAAGTACTCCAGGTTCTTGTGATCCGTGAGGATCCTCACCGGAAACTTCCCGTCTAGGTAATGCCGCCATATCTGGCAGCAGTACACGATGGCGAGCAGCTCGCGATCGTGTACGTCGTAGTTTCGTTGAGCCGGCGTAAGGCTCTTCGACATGAACGCCACGGGATGTAGTTTCCCGTCGTCCCCTACCTGCGACATCACCGCTCCCATCGCACCTGACGATGCGTCCGTCTCCAGTACCACCTGGCGCTCCTCGTCGTAGTGAGCGAGGATGGGCGCCTCGGTGAACGCCTTCTTCAACTCCTTGAAGGCAGCATCCGCTGACTCCGGCCAGTGGTACTTCACCCCTTTCTTTGTCAAGGCCGTCATGCCTTGAATCTTCTTGGAGTAGTTCTGTATGAACCGGCGATAGTAATTCGCGAACCCCAAGAACGACTGCAGGCCTCGAGTATTCCGAGGCGCCGCCCACTCCAACACCGACTTCACCTTCGACGGGTTCATGCTGACCCCCGTAGGGGCAATATCATACCCCAAGAACTCCGTCGCCGTCGTGTCGAACTCACACTTCTCCGCCTTTGCGTACAGGCCATTCGCCTGTAGCCTCTTCAGCACTTCCCGTACGTGCTCGTCGTGTGTCTCCTGATCGGCGGAGTAAATCAATATGTCGTCTAAGTAGACGACCACACACACGTCTAGCATGTCCTGGAAGACCTGATTCATCCAGCGCTGGAACGTCGCCGGCGCGTTTGTCAAACCGAATGGCATGACGAGACATTCGAACAGACCATAGCGTGTCGTGAACGCGGTCTTCCAAACATCCTCTTCTTTGACCCTCAGGAGATTGTACGCTCCTCTCAGGTCCATCTTCGTATATACCTTCGATCCCCTTAGGCGATCTAGGGTCTCCGAGATAAGCGGCAGGGGGGTCCTGTCCTTCTCGGTAATTTCGTTGAGGCGACGGTAATCAATACACAGCCTCAGTTCACCCCCTTTCTTCGGTACGAACAGTACCGGACTCGAACACGAGGATTTTGAGGGTCGGATAAACCCTTTCGCCTGGTTCTCCGCCAACCACGCCTTGAGAGCGTCCGTCTCCTTCTGCGAATGGTTGTACAACTTCCCATACGTGGGAGTTGTGCCAGGCTTCAGTTCGATCGCATGGTCGATCGAACGCTTCGGAGGCAGCGAGTCTGCCTTCGTCTTGGAGAACGCTCCGAGGTACTCGTGGTACTTCTTCGGCACCACGTCCCGTAACTTCTCCATGTACTCGGGAGGATCGAGCTCGTTTTGAATCGAGTCGGTGGGCTTGACGTCCCAATCCCACAGGTCCGGCCTGCGGGCCCGCTCCTCATCCTCCCTCGTCATCTGCATTTGAGCCACCACGAGGTTCTCCGTGATCGGCTCCTTCATTCTCGACAGCGGATCGATATTCCGCGTCTCTATCTCCACCTCGTCGGGGGAGCATACTACCTCTACCTTCTTCACGCATCCTTTCTTCAAACAGTCATCCGCGAAGGTGACTGTATTCGTATCCCACTGGATGTGTGGGCTATGGTGTCGTAACCATGTAATCCCGAGGACCGCCGCGTACCCACACAAATCCGTCAAGAAGAACTCCGCCTTCTCCTGGTGCAATCCTGTCCGCACAATAGCATGTGCCTTCTGGGTGATCTGACCACCCACTATCTCTCTTCCGTCGATGACCGTGACGGTCCTAGGGTTCTCTAGGTCTATCACATCAAAGTTATGGATCCTCGCGAACGTCCGATCCATGAACATACCCGTAGCCCCCGAGTCCACCATCATCACTGCCTGCACGGGAATCCCCTGCGGGTAGAACACTCCTACCAGAGTGAGGTGGCTCTCCGGACCACTAGGGTTACCGCTAGCACCAATGTGCAGCGGGATCCCATCACTACCCCCTTTCGCGTTCCCAGCCGGGGTCCTTTGGTGATCCGTTATTCTATAAGGCCTGGCAGCCGACCTGCCGGGTCTTGAGGTAATAAGGTCGCGGGACTGGGGAAAGGTAACGGTAGGCATAGCAATGTAATAACGGATGTCTAACTACTACAAGGTACTAGTTAGACGTCTGCGAGAACATCTCCTAAAAGGTCTCCGAGAGGGTCTCCGAGAGGGTCTCCGAACGGACCTCCGTACGAGGTGAAAACCTACATCCCGCGCGTGTACGACATGCGTACCGCGGATGCCTATAATAGTTGATTTCGGTGATCGACATGTCATGATCCGTATTGAAATAGGGACGCCAGCTTGGTGTAGTGTATCATCCTGTACTTGTAGCAATGGACCTAGCATTGGTTGGGCAGGCATGGACCAAGCAATGATTGACGACCCGTCTTGGGTGTCATCCTGTTGAGTTGATTTCGGTGATCGACATGTCATGATCCGTATTGAAATAGGGACGCCAGCTTGGTGTAGTGTATCATCCTGTACTTGTAGCAATGGACCTAGCATTGGTTGGGCAGGCATGGACCAAGCAATGATTGACGACCCGTCTTGGGTGTCATCCTGTTGAGTTGATTTCGGTGATCGACATGTCATGATCCGTATTGAAATAGGGACGCCAGCTTGGTGTAGTGTATCATCCTGTACTTGTAGCAATGGACCTAGCATTGGTTGGGCAGGCATGGACCAAGCAATGATTGACGACCCGTCTTGGGTGTCATCCTGTTGAGTTGATTTCGGTGATCGACATGTCATGATCCGTATTGAAATAGGGACGCCAGCTTGGTGTAGTGTATCATCCTGTACTTGTAGCAATGGACCTAGCATTGGTTGGGCAGGCATGGACCAAGCAATGATTGACGACCCGTCTTGGGTGTCATCCTGTTGAGTTGATTTCGGTGATCGACATGTCATGATCCGTATTGAAATAGGGACGCCAGCTTGGTGTAGTGTATCATCCTGTACTTGTAGCAATGGACCTAGCATTGGTTGGGCAGGCATGGACCAAGCAATGATTGACGACCCGTCTTGGGTGTCATCCTGTTGAGTTGATTTCGGTGATCGACATGTCATGATCCGTATTGAAATAGGGACGCCAGCTTGGTGTAGTGTATCATCCTGTACTTGTAGCAATGGACCTAGCATTGGTTGGGCAGGCATGGACCAAGCAATGATTGACGACCCGTCTTGGGTGTCATCCTGTTGAGTTGATTTCGGTGATCGACATGTCATGATCCGTATTGAAATAGGGACGCCAGCTTGGTGTAGTGTATCATCCTGTACTTGTAGCAATGGACCTAGCATTGGTTGGGCAGGCATGGACCAAGCAATGATTGACGACCCGTCTTGGGTGTCATCCTGTTGAGTTGATTTCGGTGATCGACATGTCATGATCCGTATTGAAATAGGGACGCCAGCTTGGTGTAGTGTATCATCCTGTACTTGTAGCAATGGACCTAGCATTGGTTGGGCAGGCATGGACCAAGCAATGATTGACGACCCGTCTTGGGTGTCATCCTGTTGAGTTGATTTCGGTGATCGACATGTCATGATCCGTATTGAAATAGGGACGCCAGCTTGGTGTAGTGTATCATCCTGTACTTGTAGCAATGGACCTAGCATTGGTTGGGCAGGCATGGACCAAGCAATGATTGACGACCCGTCTTGGGTGTCATCCTGTTGAGTTGATTTCGGTGATCGACATGTCATGATCCGTATTGAAATAGGGACGCCAGCTTGGTGTAGTGTATCATCCTGTACTTGTAGCAATGGACCTAGCATTGGTTGGGCAGGCATGGACCAAGCAATGATTGACGACCCGTCTTGGGTGTCATCCTGTTGAGTTGATTTCGGTGATCGACATGTCATGATCCGTATTGAAATAGGGACGCCAGCTTGGTGTAGTGTATCATCCTGTACTTGTAGCAATGGACCTAGCATTGGTTGGGCAGGCATGGACCAAGCAATGATTGACGACCCGTCTTGGGTGTCATCCTGTTGAGTTGATTTCGGTGATCGACATGTCATGATCCGTATTGAAATAGGGACGCCAGCTTGGTGTAGTGTATCATCCTGTACTTGTAGCAATGGACCTAGCATTGGTTGGGCAGGCATGGACCAAGCAATGATTGACGACCCGTCTTGGGTGTCATCCTGTTGAGTTGATTTCGGTGATCGACATGTCATGATCCGTATTGAAATAGGGACGCCAGCTTGGTGTAGTGTATCATCCTGTACTTGTAGCAATGGACCTAGCATTGGTTGGGCAGGCATGGACCAAGCAATGATTGACGACCCGTCTTGGGTGTCATCCTGTTGAGTTGATTTCGGTGATCGACATGTCATGATCCGTATTGAAATAGGGACGCCAGCTTGGTGTAGTGTATCATCCTGTACTTGTAGCAATGGACCTAGCATTGGTTGGGCAGGCATGGACCAAGCAATGATTGACGACCCGTCTTGGGTGTCATCCTGTTGAGTTGATTTCGGTGATCGACATGTCATGATCCGTATTGAAATAGGGACGCCAGCTTGGTGTAGTGTATCATCCTGTACTTGTAGCAATGGACCTAGCATTGGTTGGGCAGGCATGGACCAAGCAATGATTGACGACCCGTCTTGGGTGTCATCCTGTTGAGTTGATTTCGGTGATCGACATGTCATGATCCGTATTGAAATAGGGACGCCAGCTTGGTGTAGTGTATCATCCTGTACTTGTAGCAATGGACCTAGCATTGGTTGGGCAGGCATGGACCAAGCAATGATTGACGACCCGTCTTGGGTGTCATCCTGTTGAGTTGATTTCGGTGATCGACATGTCATGATCCGTATTGAAATAGGGACGCCAGCTTGGTGTAGTGGTATCATCCTGTACTTGTAGTTCTTAACTACGCGATACAGTGGTCCGTCGTTCAAACCGGCGAGTTGGCTTACTTTTTTCCCACTTTTTCTTTTCGCTCTTGCCTTACAAACTCCCTCCATCTCCGCCCCCTTCGTCATCTCAACAAAGCCCCTCTTTGTCCACTTCGATCTCTTTGCGACGTCTAAAGGTCTGAAGTGCACGGATCGCGATGCTGTAGCGCTGTAGCGTTGTAGTCTCGCCGTATGACGTGTCATAACCCATCACGCGGACGCCCGATCACCGAGGCTCTCTACAGGATCCGAGTCCAGGGCATAGCTAAGTTTTGTTGTAACATCGTAACATCCGATGCCAGGATCTCAAACATAGCCCTTTAACAGCTCTCCTTATCGTCCGCGATGGGCACTTCCGTCGATGTCGCCTTTCCCGGCGACTCGCCCCTCCTGGATTGGGCCACGATCTTGAGCTTGGTATTCGGCGGTTGCTGCTCGTAAGTAAGACGGGCTTCCTAGTACGTACGATTGTTTGCTAAGTCACCGAACTGTCACATACATCCACTCCACTAATCGCACTGTCTGCTGGACCGTCAAACTCACTCTGCATCTTCATGTCGACTCCAATGCCGCTCCGGTATCAACCTCAAATCTCGACACTGGGTGGAATACAACCCCAACACCATCCTCCACAACGATCTACGCATTCCTGTAATTACGGTCGATAGCAACGTCTTTGCTTTGGAAGCCGTGCTCAAGAGTCATCCTAGTGCCGGTAAGTTTTGCTACGCTTGGCCAACCGGCAAGCTTCCACAGTCGACTGAAAAATCTGACGAAATCGCTATGATGCCCGTATGCTCCTGTGGCCTGCGGATCCTTTGAACAACTCGAAACGACCAATATCAACCTACTCGTCGTTCTTGTGGCTGGACCTGATGAATCTATTATCCTACTGTGGCCATGAAATATTCATCGGCTTGACTTCCGACTGACTCGGACATGGTGTCCAACCTGGCGTAACCTTGTCCGGTTGGAAACTTCCACGGGTACATCACCCAAACGACCCTGAACTCCACTATCGACTTGGATCCTCTACCTGACCGATCAACATTTCGCCGGCGATTTCCTCCTCATCCGCCGACATACTCCAGGCATCTTCCTGACCTTTGTCCAATTCCTCTATGTCGCCTGCTCGACCCTATCCACCCAGGTTACCTTTACCGGCGGATTGCCCCGCCTCAAGACCCGTGTCGTGCCCCTGAAACGATGGGCTGGGCAGGTGGTCATGTTCCTGGCCGTGTCGTTGCTCAACAACCTGGCTTTCGGGTTAAAGGTGAGTGGAGAGCCCGGCCATGACTCTTTGTATCAGGTCATTAATGCCCTTTCCGTCTTATTGTTCTGCATCCTACCCCATGTCACGTCAACGGTGTCAATACGATATACCCACCATAGGTCCCAGTCCCCGTACACATCATCTTCCGCTCTGGTGGACTGTGTGTCTCGATGGTAGTCGGCTGGCTGGCGGGCAAGAAGCGGTATAGCGGGTCCCAGGCGGTGAGTCTTCCTGCCGTTCGTAGCGCTTTCAAAGCTAGCCAAGCGTGCTAACAGATATGGGTACTGCCATGAACCTGCTTTGCAGCTCTCGGTCATGCTCGTCACCGTCGGCATAATCGTAGCCACGGCTTCAGCTCCGCCTAAACCCAAAGGCAAGCCACCCTCGATACAACATCGACCCGCGACTACTGCCTCTTCGAATGCTTGGGGTCTAGCGGACAACACGCAATACGTCATCGGCGTAGCCATTCTGTCACTCGCCCTCATCATCTCGGCGTTCATGGGCCTGTTCCAGGAAAAGACGTACAGCAAATATGGTCGTGGAGGTGCCGTCTGGCAAGAATCCATCTTCTATAGCGTGAGTATGGCGAATGCCAACCGAACAGCTCGCAGGGACTCATGTAGAGCACTCCGTTCATTGCCCCAGCACGCCCTCTCGCTCCCTCTGCTCGTCCCATTCCTCTCCAACATGTCGAACGATTTCGCTGCTATCACGAACACGCCACCTACCGTATTCCGCATCCCGATGCCACCAGGGATTTTGCCCAACAAGTACCCAGGGTCTCCTACTAGCAACGTTCTCGCCGTTGGCATCCCTTCGGCTTGGATCGCGTTTGCCATGAACATCTTCACCCAAGGCCTATGCATCAACGGTGTCAATCGGCTGACCTCGGTAAGTTCGCGCTGAACGTATTATATGCCTCCACATGCCGTATCTGATTTGCCTTGCCATGACAGCGGGTCTCTTCCGTCAGCGTCAACCTGATTCTGACCGTGCGCAAGGCCGTCAGTTTGGGGATTTCGGTCTGGTATTATGGCGCCGGATTCAACAAGGGATTGACGACTGGCGCTGCCATGGTTCTAGGTAAGTGATAATCCGCATTTGCTGACCCGAGTCCCCTGAGTAGTGTTGCTGAGAAGCAAGCCATGTTTTCCAGTGGGCACGGTACTATACAGTATGGCTCCTAGCCCAGCTCGAGTCGAGCAGAAAGCCAAGACTGAGCCTGCCGATACGATATCGACAGCAGACAACTCGATCGGTAGGACAACTGCTACCCAGGCTAGCGACGCAGACCTGAAACAACGACAGAGCGGTCGTTTCACGGAAGTTGAATAGATCGTACATATAGATGCTGAATGCACGCACGCATACACGATGGGACACGCGAGTCTGAACTTGGCCTTGATCCAAAATGGATCGCAGTCTAGCCAGAAGGAGGATCAACAGGTCGTTTGGCTCCCGCATTTTCGGCCCTTTCCACCATGAGCTGAATGGACGGTTGTGCTTGGGACGCGCATGTATGATCTAACTCCGGGACTGGGAGTCCACCTATGGCGCGAATGGGTCCAGACAAGTTGTCAAAGTAAAGTACCGGTCAACAGCATAAAGATGGACATAAACGGCGGCACAAGTCGCCGGACCTATTCTAGTTGTACAATTTTCGACATTTTTCTTTTGGTGTTGCCACCACGCGTGGTTTGGGTGTAACAAGGTTCGGGGTCAAAAATGAGATGACAACCCGACCTGAAATATAACGTAAAGCAAAATCGAAACGCAAGACCTCTTTTGTCCATATCATCTTCTTCTTGTCCAGAATAATTCCCCTCCGGCGACAACCTCTAGACCCAATCGCGAATCCGCTCGACCCGGCGTTCCAGCTTAGGCGCTCTCCTCACTGCCTGACGACCCGACTCGCTGGGGAGCAAAGATGCTGGTCCAGTCGGGAGCGATCCTCGGCTCGATTCTTCCCTCCAGCCTAGCAAGCGCATAGCTCCTCTGAGACTCTTTCCTCTCGTCATCCCGGTCGGTTGCCAAGGTCTGCACCATCCCACCGTTCAAAAACCCGGTCTGATCGAGCATATGCTGGATCGACCTTCGTGTCTTGTCCCCCTCTGCTGGTCTAGCTGTCCCGTACCTCGAATATTTCCAGGTCGATCCGCCATTTGACGACGAGTAGGTGCTACTGGGCGACAATACGTCGCTACCGCTCTTGCTCCTGTGATCGTGGCTAAACACGACTTCGACGTCCCGCGGCGAAAGCATCGGTGCCGAGGTGAAAGACTCTTCCGAACCTTCCCACTCGTCATCTTCGGTCTCGCTACCCGTATTCGAATCGTCTTCCTGGTCGTGCAGTTCGTTCTCGACCCCATGGCCGCGGTAGGCGTGCAGGACTGACGACGACGAAGCGCGACGGCGTTGTGGCGTAGGAGATTCGGCGCGGGTGCTGTTCATCTCCCGTTTGATCGCCATCGAGGTGGGAGAACCAGGGTAGATGACACTATGATCCGTCCTCATCAGTGCCGGACGACGGTCTCTGCGGGGAGAGTTCATCGTGTTCGCGGTGGCAGGACGATTCGGAGAGCTTCCGTTGAACCAGACGCCGATCTCGGTCCTGGATCTACGAAGAGGTCGGCCGCGCTACGACACACAACAAGTCCGTCAGCTGCAATCTCTACATGAGACTCGGCAAGCGTCCAACATACAGTGACACCGAGCGTCGAAACTCTCCTCACTCTCGCATCCCGACTTTTCAAGGATCCCGCGGCTTGCCTCTCTTCCCACTCACTACCGGTCCCAGTCCCAACCTCGTCGAAATCCTTCAAGAACACCGTATCCACCCTGGGGATTTCGGGCAAAAACCCTCCATGCATCCTCTCCAACGCCTCGCCGAGGTTCCTCCCAGGTGACCTCGAAGGGCTACGCGAGGAAACGGTACTCGAACCACTCCGACCACCTTTAGGGCTTTGAAAGGTCTGCCTAAAGATCCGCTTAAGCGAGGCCGTAGCCATCGCTCGTCGGCTCGTCCTCGTAGACCCAGTGGCGCTGGTAGGAGGCGCGGTCGAAGCAGAACCGGTAGTCGAACTCGAATTGGATCCGTCCGACTCGGAGCTACTGGTGCCGATCGTCAATGCTGTAGGCGTGGCGGATCTCGAGCGGGATACTATGGCCGGGCTTAGTCGCATTTGTGGTTTCGAACCGGTGGGTGTGATATCGTCTGAGAAGTCGGGGATGTGCAAGTTGGCTGAAGGCAGCGCACATGTGTCAGCATCTACTCGCACCGAATAGTTTTGTTTGCACTCGCTCAGACTCACCCATCATCGCGGTGTCAAGCTTCTCCAATCCAGCCGAACCTCGTCTATTCGTAATACCCAGCCCAACCAACCCCTCGTCTTTGCGCTCCCTCTTTCTCAAACTCTTCATCGGAGACCACGTCCCAAACTTGATCGAGGGCGCAGTCGGACTCTGAGCGATAGCTGGGGAGGGGAAGTACCCCGTCGGCTTGGCGTTCGGAGTGCATGGCACGCTGGAAGAGGAGAGCGGGGAAGCGGTTCCTGTCGAGCTGCCTGATGGGCTAAAGAACATCGGAGGGCGAGCGAGCGGAGAGGGAGATTCGAAGCGGTGGGTAGTCAGAGTCGAGGTCGGGGTGATATCGTTGGCTAGTTTGGATGATTTCTTGGGTCGAGGTGTTTGGAAGGGAGATCCCAGGCCAGGAGATTGCGGTCTACGTGATTTGGAAACGGGGTTGTCAGTGTCATCGCTCTCATCTCGGGTCGGATCTTCGACTCACAAGACGGGCATCTCCATCTCCATGCTCGCTCTGATCTCTTCCCTACTCCCAATCTTGAAGGGATCTGGGCTAGTCGCCAACCTAAACCCATCCAGATCCGCCTCGTCATCCACCTTCCGATTCTTGATCCAGACCACCTCGCCGTCATATTGTTGTTGAAACGGACTATCGAGCCTCGAGCCAAAGACGTCCGAGTAGTGTGCGTCGGCGCCGGCCGTATGTGGACGAGATGATGAGGACGCCTCGGATTGAGTATGGGACGAGCGTTGTACGTTTTTTAAGGCGAGGGAAGAAGGAGGCGGTCGAGTCAAAGGTGTCCGGGGTCGACGACCGGAGCTCTTGATAGGCGTCATGGGTGGATCACCAGCTCGCAAAGTAGGCGAGGGGGTAGTGGGTGGTGTAAACATTCTAGGCAAGGTCGTTCTAGTCGAACCGGGAGAGATCTCGGTGGTCCAGCCTAGGTCTGTTTGAGTCACAAAGATGAGAGGTTGCACGGGTCGACCGAGTGGCATGGTGAAAGAGTAGGAGTTCGGCTGTGTGCGATGCTGTGACCGCAAGGGGTGCGCGAGTGTGTATATATGTTCCAGCAGCCAGCAGCTCGTAGCTCGAGTCGGGCTGAATACTGATGATGACTATTGCGACGACGATTCGTTTTCCCGATTTGGTAACTCGGGCGGGCGGCCAACTTGATCTCGATCTGGTTTGCTGTGCTGCTTTCCTTCCTCCAAGTGATGTGATGTGACGCTCGAATTATTCGGGCACAACGCTTGTCCGGGCCTTGTTCTTGTTGTCGTCTGTCTCTCTGTCTTCGGCGAGTTTCGAATCCGGGTTCACTCGCGTTTCAAACGTTTCGGGCGAGACGCGCACGGACCTCGCTCTTGCTGTGCACGTAGTGAATAACCGGTTTGCGCAACCCTCGATCTCGCCTGTTCCTGCCCGGCGCAGTGTGTGTAACCCTCGTTTAGGATGATGCTGTGTACCTTTAAGTGGTATTGGCTTGTCTTGTCTCGGTGGTTGTAATATAAGTGCAAATCCTCCCTCGGTTACGTCGTTCGGCCCGAAATTTCAGAGGTGTTCCGGAAGTGTGATCCGGGAATCGAAGTTCTTCTTTGATCCACCGAAGTGATGGACGACGATGACAACAAGCAAGCGATTATGATTGATGGAGAGTTGCGAGTCTGTTTTGATATCGATCTGGCAGTTAAGCTCATCGTCACCAGGCGAGTCGATACCTGACCCTTCACCTACTTATACTCAACCTCCAACCCCTCTTACGCAGGTAAAACCTTTTTTGATTACCCTAATCACCCCGGACTCGAACCGACGTTCACGCACGCCCGCATCCCACGCAGCTTCCTGCCTCCCTGCCTTCTGCTTCCCTTGGACACCGCTGATCACACTCGGACCCCGTGTTTCTGGAATCAGAAGAAAAGCCGCTGACGTCCACATCAAACGTCCAGAAGCGGAAATTGATCATCCGCTACCGTGTGATGCCCGCACCCCTCGCTTTGGTTGGTTCGTCCGGGGATGACGAGTTGAGCGTCTCGAGTTTCAGATGAAGCACGGGTAACGATCGTAACGATTTTGTTGTTCTAGACCACGTCGATCATTTTGGTCTTCTTTGTGTGATCATCGGTCTTACGGGTATTGGGAACCCTCCTTTGGATCTTTGATGGTGACACACGGCTTTGATAAGGGGGAAACGGAAAACGGGGTCGAAGGCGAAAAGTGATGCTCAAAGGGGAAAGACCGAACGATACTCCGAGCCGAGATTCCAGGGTGAAAGTTTGTGAATCGAGATCAGCTGATCAAGATAACAGTGATCTTTGATCTTTGATGGGCTGTTTTCGCGATCGTGACCGAGAAGGACAAGCATTGCATCGGCGGGGGGTCTGAGAGAGAGAGAGACGCAGGCTGATAGAGACATGAGAGTCTCAGCCAAATTGTGACTCGTCCTGATTCTCTTTAAAACGAGCGAAGTTTGGGACCACACCCGATCGAAGAATTCAGAATCACTCCTTTTCGCTGATCAAACGCTTTCGCTGGCTCACGCGCGCGCGGGCGCGGAAGGAAACCTTGCTTCCCCAAGTCTGAAACGCGATCAAGATCAAGAAGCACCTGCCCCTCTTTTCCCTGCCTTACCGGTAATGATGGCTCGATCGTTTTCGATCCCAGCTGACAGAGTACACAGATCGACAGTTTACTGGAAACTAGTCATCAGCTCATTATCGCGGGTCAGCAAGAAGAGGGGGCGAGGGTCAAGTGATCCGGACAACATCAAGGCAAGGAGGTTGGGCTGGCTGCGTTTCGGATCAGGGCTAATGACGTCGATCCATTCCATTCGACTCGATGTTCGACGAGCGGTGTTCGACATCGGGAATCGGAGTGATCGGAAGGAGCTTTGGGTGAAACAACAGGCGATGGATCGTTTCAGGTTGAGTGTCTCGAGGGTGCGGATATCCCATCATCGGACCGGGTATAGGTGTGAGATCAGCGGTACTCGATCGAGAATATAGAATGAGTACTAACGCCCACCTGCTAGTTGCCCCGAGAGTCGACAAAGTTGCACGGCGAGGCTATCAAAGTCACGTGACCTAGCTATTCTGCACGACTGTGGTCCGTCTCCTATCCTCGGTGGCTATTTGGTGAGATTAACCGAGAATGTGGAGGTCTCGGTTTGGTTTCGACGTCACTCACTCACTCCCGCTCTAATCGCCAAGGTTGGATGAGGTGATGATGAGCAAGCAAGCAAATGGCTCGAGGAGGTCGATATATAAGGGTATACACATTTGAACCAACTCTTTCATTACCTGGCACCGCCTCTTCTTCGACTCGACCAACAATCGCACACACCTCGCACCATCATGTCATCCACCCCCACCACCTCCCGCGTCTGGACCCTCGCCGAGCCTCCTACGGGCCCCATCACCTCGTCCACCTTTTCCCTCGAGACCCAGGACCTCCCCGAACTCAAAGACGGCCAAGTCCTCGTGCAGCCCACCCACCTGTCCAATGACCCAGCTCAGAGGACGTGGATGGACGGGGATACCGATCCCCGTAGGTTGTACGCCCCGCCCATCTTGAAGGGACAGTCCGTTACAGCTGGGGGGATCGCCAAGGTCATCAAGAGCAAGAGTTCGAAGTGGAAGGAGGGGCAGGAAGTTTCGGGGACATTCGGGTGGTACGAATACGCCGTCGTCGACGAGAGTCAGATCCAGAGCGAGGCCATGTGAGTGCAGTCGCTCCTTCCCTCGACTCTTCCCTACACTGCAGACATGAGACTCACGAGTAACGCCTTGCCCGCTTACAGCAAGATCCCAGGCCAATCCCCCGTCATCTCCCTCTCCTTCCTGGGCGGCATCGGGCTCACCGCCTACTTTGGTGTGTTCGATGTATGCAAGCTGGAAAAGGACAGCGTTGTAGTCGTTAGCGGAGCAGCAGGGTTAGTTGTGGCGACTGTTCTCTTCCTTCCTCGCCCGGAAATCGGAGCGTCATGCTGACATGGTCGATATTTCGACAGCGCGGTCGGATCGACCGTCGTCCAGATCGCGAAGAAGGTCGTCGGGTGCAAGAAGGTCATCGGGATCGCTGGCGGCAAGGAAAAGTGTGATTGGTGAGTCCCGCCTCCGCACCGATTGGGCCCCTCCCAATCAACCTGACCGACACGTGTCCCGTCCTGTCGCCTCGCTCGTTCGCAGGGTCAAATCCCTCGGAGCCGATGAATGCGTCGACTACAAATCATCTTCCTACGCCAAAGACCTCAAGGATCTCCTCCCGGACTATGCCGACGTCTACTTTGACAATGTCGGAGGAGAGATTTTGGACGTCATGTTGCCGCTCGTCAAGCGGTACGGCAAGGTCGCCGTCTGCGGGTCTATCGCTAGTAAGTCATCCAGCCGCTGTCTGCCGAGGTGGATTTCGGAGGCTGATGTGGCGATTCGCTTTACGATAGACTACAACGGAGAGCCTATGAAGCTCAAGAACTGGCGAGAGGTGAGTCGAGAGCGAGATCAGGCTTTATCGAGTGATACTGAGCGCCATTCCTCGTTTCTGTCTCTAGGTCATCTACAACCGATTGCACATCCAGGGTGAGCTCACCATGACACCGATCACTCCCTCTCGCTTCCTGCTGACCTCAGCCTTCCCCTCCCTTCACCTTGCAGGTCTAATCATCTTCGACTACCTCGACCGAGCCGGACAGGCCATCTCGGACCTCAGCGGATGGATCAAGGACGGCAAGATTGAGACTACCGGCGGCGAGATGATCGTGGACACCAAATTCGAAGACATTCCCGCTACGTGGCAGATGTTGTTCGAGGGCGGAAACAAGGGGAAATTGATCACCAAGTTGCAGTGATCAGGTTGAACTTTGCGGGTTGTTAGAATGCAAAAGGACGTCGTTACTGTAGCCAAAATTACAACAAGATGCGATATGAAGCTTCAGTGAAGTAAAGAAAGAGCCATGTACAGTTTGTGGGCGTCTGACGCTGTAATGCCAACGCGAGGGGGTTGTTTGTGCTGGGATTTGGGAAGACCCATCAGCCGCCAGTAGTACTATCGCACATCCGGACAAGTAACGCAAGCAGAAGGGGAAAAGAAGCAAAACGCATAAACCGGTATCTTATAACCGGACAATCTGCAATGATCTCTCGTAATTGATTACAAGTCCCCAACCGAAATGAATCCTTTTGATGTGGTACCACAACGTCGCCCCGATCCACCCACTATGAGCCCCCAGAATCAGACTCGTCCTTGCGGGCTAACACTCCTCCTCCTCGATCCGGCTCCGCCACCCTGGTTCCTCCCTTGGAGCCCTCGTCCGGCCTCCCTGGCGTTGTACCCGGCAGGAGGTCGGTTGAAAGCAAAGTCGCTAAGATGCAGTAAGACGGGTCACAGCAGATCGAGCAGCGTCAAGATCAGACTCAGGTCAGCTAAATGTCCCGATCGAGGACAAAGACTGAAACGGAAGCGTGCGAGAGGAGAGGGATCGGACGTATTGTGCTTACCAGTGAATCTCCTGACCGAGCATCTCCTGTCCGTTCATCGCCGCGATGGCCTTCTCCGCCTCTTCCCGCTGTCCGTACTCTATCAGTGCGTACCCCTACACGCAGGGACCATGGGGGATCGGTCGCCCATAGGTTTCAGTACAACATCCGCCTCGTGCCCGTTCACGTTAACGGTACTGACCTTGACATAACCAGTCCGTCGGTCCAAGTTCAGATGGATGTTCATGACTTTTCCGTAATCCGCGAATAGGTCGGTGACGTCCTCTTCAGAGGCCTCTTCGTGCACGTTGGTTACGACGATGATCCATCCTTCGACCGCTGGTGATAGATAGGTTGATAAGGAAAGGCAAGATATCGGCGAAGAAGGGAGAGGACGAGTAGAAGTAGGGCGAGTGAGTGTAATTCTCGGGATGTTTCGGGACGGATAGAGAAGGGGACGTACATCGTGCAGCGACATTGCTAGAGCTTGCATCTCCTCCGGTTGGTACGGACTCGTAATCCGTCTCGCCTATAATATTTTGCATAGGTAGTCAAGGTGTTGATAACAAGGTAGATGATGGTCGTTGTTGTCGTTGTCAGGATTTGTTCGGATCAGAGTGGATCAGCATACGCACGCTCCGCTGCCACTCGCAAATCAAACTCACCAAAACCTCGACCCTTCTTCTTAATCTCTAAATCAGCCCAACGACCCAGACCACCACCCCACATTAGACTCGATCAGTCAAAGGTCTTCATCTTCTCTGAGAAGCATGTCCAGCAGGAGCTGACGGAACGCGACCGCGACCTACCTCCATCGGTTCCGCGCATTTCGACGTCGGCCATGTTGAATCGGTACTAAGTTGCTGCTTTTGTGTGTTATATGAGCTATGAGTCCTGGGTCCGAGAGGTTGTGACGTCGGACTTGGAGGTTGCATTTCGAGGAGATGAACATGATCGATGTGCCTCATGATAATGACCAAGTTGATGATTGATTTGATAATAATCTGATTGAGATGACGTGTAATTTGACATAGTAATAATTAATAAATCGTCATCGCTCATGTCCGAACGGGTCATGCCATGCCATATGCAACCTTCACTCTCGATCCAGATACCTTCCTACATCATCTCACCGATCACCATAGTCTTCCGCCCGTCTCGTCAACCGTCATCGGAACTACTGAACGACCTCAAGCAAGATGAGGATCACAGGCCCGATCCTGTGCGCGGCCACCTTGGCAAACGTCTGCCAGGCCGCCCTCAAATCCGGCCAAGATGTCTTCACTCCAAAGGACATGCTCTCCCTCCCTCGACCCTCGCCCGCTATCGCCAGTCCCAAAGGTCACCTCGCGCTCAGCTTGGTTGGGGAATACAACTCTACAGAGAAGCTTACCACCAAGTCTCTCTACGTCATTTCCACTGATCCTAAGCGAGCGGAAAAGGATGATCCCGTCCTGCTCGTCAGGTCGGACAAGAGTACCTCGATCGGAGAACCTTTATGGTTGAACGAGGAGACGATTGCATACTTGAACACCACGGGAGGTTCTTCTGAACTTTGGTCCATCTCGCTCAACACGTCTTCGCATCTCGATTTTGAATCCCAAGGAAAAGAATCCCACCCGCATCTTCCCGTTCCTCATCACCTACACACTTTCCCCATCGCGCCTTCCTCGCTCAAGTTCAAGGCTCTGCCCAAGACCGTCGCTGGCAAAAAGGATTTCTATCCGCATGAGACGGGAGTCTTGGCGTTCTCGGCTCATGTATGGAAGGGCGCTTCGATCGAAGATGCGGCCAGGTTGGACAAGATGTGGGAGGAGAGGGACGACGAGGGTTTGGTCTGGGACGAGTTGTATATCAGGCAAGTCTGAACATGCATTGGAAAGCTCCCGTCAGCTACCTTTTCATTCAGCTGATGTGTTTACCTTGCTTACGTTGACAGAGAATGGGACACCTGGAGGAACCCAGGAAAGGTCCACCAAGTCTTCTTGACCCTCCTTGACATTCCCCAGCCCGCCACCTCCCGCTCCGTTCGACCTCACCAGACCTATCTGGCGCCATTCAACGCCTCAGCCACCTACTCGCTCATGCAACCGTTCGAAAGCGGTCAGTTCGACATCTCCATTCCGTCCTTTGGAAAGGACAAGGAACCGAAGATCGACGTGATCATCAACGTCAAGGACAAGTACCTGAATTACGCTTTCCATACCCGCCGACAGATCTACCTCACCTCGGTCGGGTTGGAGTGGAAGACGGTCTCTCTGGCCGGATCTTATCCTTATGAAGGGTACCAGTTTGCGTCCAGCCTTACCGGTTCTGGTTCCGACTCTACCATGACGGCGGACGAGCCCACACTCCTTACCTCGGGAGATCAGGGGTCGGTCTCGGAGAGCAAGTTCTCTCCCGAAGGCAATCAAGTGGTCTGGTTGGAAATGCAAGAAGATGGCAATGAGAGTGACCGGAATACGGTGGTTGTCTATGACTTGGAGGCGAGGAAGAAGTCGGTCTGGACAGAGAATTGGGACCGGAGCCCGAGTTCCGTTACTGTAAGCATTGGTATCTGTTTCGTCTGGGACGCGATAACCCTCACTGAAATATCGTCTATACCGTTTCGCTACGCTGTAGTGGTCTCCGGACGGCCGATCTCTGTACGTCATCGCCGAGGACCGAGGCTCTTCCTTGCCTTACCACCTCAAACAGGCCGATCGACTCCCTACCCCGCTCTTTTTCAACGGATCGACCGCTTCCATCCAACCCTTGAGCAACGCGACGTTCTTGTTGGCCATCAGCTCTTTGGCACACCCGGTCCAGGATTACGTGCTCGATATCAGCAAGTCGCATCCGACTGCTCCTGAGTCTGTCGGTGTTGAACCGCCCAGTACCACCTTGCCCGCGCTGAGCGATATCAAGCAGGTCACCTTCTGGGCTCAAAAGGGCCTACAAGGCAAGAAATTGAGCCAGGGCGAGAAGTTTTGGTTCGAAGGCGCCAACGAGGAGCAGGTGATGGGATGGATCGTCAAGCCTCCTGGGTTCCGGGAGGGGGACAGGGCTAAATGGCCCCTGGCCTTCCTCATTCACGGAGGACCTCAGGGGGCTTGGGAGGACGCTTGGTCTACCCGTTGGAACCCTCAGGTGTTCGCTCAACAAGGTGCGCTGTCCATCACTTCTTCTGCTCTGCTCTCTGTTGTAATCGATCATACGTGAAATGAAAGCTTACACATCACGTCGACATAGGTTACGTCGTGGTCGCCATCAACCCACACGGTAGTACCGGATACGGTCAAGACTTTTGCGACTCGATCCACTCGCCTAGAAACGATTGGGGAGGGAAACCCTACCGTGACCTCGTCGCCGGCTTGCAGCATGTTCTCGATACCTACCCGGCCGTCGACCGGGAGAGACTCGTCGCTGCAGGTGGATCATATGGCGGATACATGATCAATTGGTTGCAAGGGCACAACTCGCACACCAACTTCAAGGCTATGGTCAACCACGATGGTGTCTTTGGTAAGTCTCGAAAAGACTTAGGCGGCTTGCCGGAATGCTATACTCAAATTTGTTTGTATGCGCATGCACAGATGTCCAGACCATGTACTACTCAACCGAACAGGTCTACTTTTCCGAGAGGTGAGGTTAATTGTCTCCCCTTCTCTGAGGGCCTACCTAACACGTACATCGCATTGTCAGGGAGGGCGGCGGTATGACCCCGTGGCAAGACCGATCGCAATACCAAGAGTGAGCATGCTGGAATCAGGCTCGTAAAGGTCACATGCTCACGCCTTGTACAAACAGCTTCAACCCAATCAACTTTGTCGGCGAATGGAGCACTCCAATGCTGGTCATCCATGGCGGTCAGGGTAAGCACTTGGTCGTGTATACTCCACCCATATCGTGCAAGCCTGATGTATCCGTCCGTTTAGACTTCCGAATCCCCGACTCCCAAGGTATCGGGGCCTTTACCGCCTTGCAGCGACGAGGTATCCCTTCCAGGCTCCTGTACTTCGCCGAGGAGAACCACTGGGTTCTCAAGCCAAAGAACTCGTTGCGATGGCACACCGAGGTGTTCAAATGGTTCGACGAGTTTGTCGGCGAGGAGTCCATGTCCGCCTTCGACATGGTCATCCAGGCGTGATTGAATCAGGCGGTGCATATGAATTATAGGTAGTTGCTGATGTGGTAGATGTCATACAAATTTGTTTGAAAGGCGTTGAATAAGAATCGCCGGAAAGATACATATACAGAGCGAAATCAAATTCCTTGCACAAGATATAAAACTCCCTGCGGCTACCGAAAGCTTGCCTTCTTCAAAGCCCGAGCTGGACCCATACCCGAGGCCTGTCCAACTTCGAGCTTCTTTACAGCAGGGATGCTCTTCAATGTCCCTTCCCTATGCGCAGATGACGCTGTCGAGGTCATGTAACTGCGTCCACCCGATATGGATCGGGCGGTGGCTTTTGTCGGTGACACGACCCGGGGCCGAGAGCTAGTCGTCTTGAGCGAGCTTAGTCGGTCTTTCGAAGTCATCAGAGCTGGTCGAGTCCTGCCTAGAGCATTGTCGCGTGTTGAAGTTGTAAGAGCAGCTGCTCTCTTTTCCGTCGGGGCTGAGACAGTTGAATCAGGTCGAGCGTCCGGTCGCTCGGCAGCGTCGGCAGCGTCGGCCGCGTCGGCCGCATCCTCCGCATCTTCTTGTATGTCAACAACCTCTTCTGCTGGGTCCTCGACGTCGAATTTCAGTTTCCTGGCCTTTTTCGCAGAGGCCAGCTTTTCCGCCACGATCTTATGCGAGACGTAACGCGCCAGAGGGGTAGCCGGTCCTTTTCGCGCTCGACGCTTCAGTGCCGGTGAAGCGGCTTTCGAGGGGGAAGAAGAGTCTGGGCGACGACTCCCACCGGCCAACGGCGATGAAACGGATGGCAGGCTCTTCGATCTTATTGGTGTCAAGAGTCGATGAGCGGATGTGGGAGGATAATGGGGGATCACATCATCCCGAGAAGATTCGGTTGACAAGGAAGCTGATCGCCGTGATGGTGTTGAAGGAGGTGCCGACTGGCTCAATGACGAATCGGTCGTTACGGTCGTGGACGAAGTTGAAGAGCTCGGTGATGGTTCTGGCGACCGTTTTGACGGTTCTCTCAAGAGTTCTTCGAGCTCACGCGCCCGCCTATCTTCCAGATAGGCGGCTCGTTCGGCTTCGAAGACGGCTCTCTCCTGTGCCAGCCGAACGAGACCCTCTGTCATGCGACGACGTTCCGTCTCTACTGCTGCCTTCTCGGCTTCAAGCTGTTCCTTGTCCTCGCTGTGATGTGCTATGTTCAGCAAATGTTTGTGCCCTGAAGAGGTCTAGATTCCGAGCTTACTCGGTAATGGTCGCGGCCGCCATAGCTGTAGCGATCTCTTCCGTCCTCGAAGCGGTCTCATCATTGTCCGATTCTTCCGCATCGATTACGTGTTTCAAAACAGGGATCGGCTTCCCACTCGTCTTGGCGTATTCCAATACCAATTCTTGAGCCTCTTGGGCTGCCTGACGGGCGTTCACTGTAATCATGAATAGCGATAATGTTTTTCAGCCCCTATCATTATTTTCCCTCCAACGGACCGAACTCACCCAACTGCTTCTCAACGTCCTGCATTCTCGATCTCATCAACTCCTTGACCCTTTCCACCCTCTCTCCCTCGAGCGTCTCCAAATCAAGTTCACTCTGATACAGCCTCGCCGTCTCCCTCTTTTCGGTCACTTCAGCCTCGACTCGGCTCTTGAGCTTATTTATGAGTTCCCTCAAGCGGGTATCGGCTGACAAGGGGTGCGATGTGGATGAAGAGATTTGAGACGAGTTGATAGATTGGTGAGCGCTGAAAAATGCCGAGGGGGTGAGTCGAGCGGGTTCCTATATAACGACAGGAAGTTCTATTAGCATGTTTTCGGCGACATGCTGATACAAGGTGGACCATCGACGTACCGGCCCGCCCGAAGCGATAGCGAGCACGCCCTGCAGCTGATTCGCTGTGGACAAGGTCACATGCCTAAACGCCTCACACTCTTCCTGCAGACTGATGATCGTCTGGTTCAATTCGTTGATCGCCGGATCCCAGAACGAATCCTATATGCCAACCAGAGTGGGTATCAGTAAGCGTTACTACAGGTATTTGAACTTTCCCTACAGAAAGGGACTCACCGCACGAGGGATCTGTTGAACCGGGTCGATCGGGTTCAACAGCAACATCCCGCCCCTGTTACTCGCCGTCGATACTCGAGCGTTATCATTACATAGCCGTTGCCACTGTTGCAGCGTCTTTTCCAGCTGAGCGTCTCGTTTCTTGGCATCGTGCTGCAAAGAAGAAGGAGAAGATAAAAGCAACAGCCCGTGTTAGCATTCAAATCAGATATTATAGTCGGAGTGGATTATGGTTGACGTACTTGTGCCTGAGTCCGGACGAAGGCCAAGGCGTTCTTCGCTTTCTGTGCCTCATCCTTTGTGAATTTATGCGCCGCTTGTTCTCTTTGCAGCTTGACCGTCAGATCTCTACTCGATTGGACAACCAAGATGAGAACCTATTTATCAGTCCTTCATGATCTCGATTACACCTCGCAAGACGTCCAGCTTGTATTCGGCTCACGTCATCTGCGCCTTGGTCCCCTCCTTGTCCTTTTCTGCAGCAATCACCCGTCCCTTGAGCTTCTTATGCATCCCGCACAGTCGCTCATGGTCGTACGACAAGACACGGTGAGCCGTCGAGATCGTCTCGGTTCGTTCGAGGTCTTCCTGTAATCGTGCGAAGAATGACAAGTTTGATTAAACCATTCAGATCGCCAATTCGAATGTTCGCGATGAGATCAGACCAGACGCCGACTCACCGTCCGCTTCTGCAGCATGCCTTGTAATATCCTTATCACATTATCCCGATGTTTCGAGCTCAGCCCGTCCAGCTTCAAGGCCGACTTGGTGATCCCCTGAGCATACAGCTGAGCGTTAAGAGCTACCAAGTTTGATGGCTCTCTACGCTCGCTACTATATTGTTGTTCGAGAGAGGAGACGATCATGAGCGTTCGAGTTCTTCGCTAGGTAGTCCCGTTAGGCAGAGGAATGTTATGGCTGACCTTGACGGCGATTTCTCGCCTGATGCCGACGGCATCCTGGTCTGACTAGTACGACCGGTTGACGCTGTCTTGATATGATACTACTCCTTAGCTATAAAACGTGCAGACGACAGATATCAGATGACGACGGAATAGTTTGTGTACGATGTCGTCTCTCTCTGTCTCTGCGTTGTGATTTGTTTACACTTTCACTTTCAGTGGTTGATCGATCATCTACCCCCTCTTTCCACATACAAAACGCGTGGGAAAAGCCACGAGACGATCTCGCCTCGTTATGAAATATGGATGGACAATCCACCTCCGTAATCAGCGCTATCAACGCCTTTAGCTGGTCATAGGTCGGTGAAGCAGCTTGGACCAGCGGGCGGCAAGAAGCTACGAATTCTAGGGGATTGGATCGTCGGGTCTGGTTGCTCATGCGCGCACAAGTCTCGGCAAGCAAGCCCGATGAGACGTTCCCAACTGCTGAGCACACTGTTGTCCATCTTTCCCAGCGTGCCGTTCTGGACCACTTCCGTCTGTGTCAATCGGCTGAGTCGAGTCTCGTTCAGAAGTCTCGTCGTCTGCGTCGACCGACTCAAGAGAGACTCGCCCAGGCGCCTCGCCGGGCGAATTCCGCACCACCTTTCTACGCTTGATATGGCTCGCCGTATTGCCGCTGCCGTCGTCGTGATGGTTTCAGGTTCGCGGACGGTCGATCGTGCCCTTGGCGACCTTTTTAGAGACGCTATTGCCAGACGAATCGCTGTCGCTGTCTTGATGATGACGTTTGGGCGAGTTTTGCGGGTCGCCATCGAGGGCCTCGGCGACGTCATTGAAGAGGCGCTCTGCAGGTGAATTCCAGCCCGGGTTTTTGGACTGAATCAACGATACCGTCTCTTGAAGGTTATAGGACCTGGCTATCTTTTTGATTGGCAAGAGGAATCGACGGCTAGGCGGCTAAGATCAGATTGCAAACTCGTTAGTACGTCGGTCACAGACAGTCGGCCGGCCATTACGTACCTTGTTGAACTGGAAAGCTCTCCACCAATCAGACTGCCATCTTATACCGATGTACCGGTGTAGATTCTCTTGTCTGTTTGCCGCATAAAGGCGATCTTGCATTCGTTTACGCATATCTGGCTCTAGGTCTTGGGGTTCGAGTATCGCCTCCCGCAATAACCTCTCATAGATGTCTGCTGTCGTATGTTGGGCCTGTTCAACTTGATCTTCGGAGAAGGCCAGTAATTTGATAGCCGTAGTAGCAGGCTGGTTGGGCAAGTATTGCATTGACACATTGAACTCCCACCTGCTGCAACTCTGCCATAGCTCCGGTACCGGCGCCGCCATGTTGTCGCCTGTTGAACGTGTTCGTTGAAAGTTGTCGCCGTAGCGGAAAGGTTGTGACCGTGCTATTCGCGACAACCTGGACCACCATGGTCCTACCGTTCCAGTGTGAGCGGATTCGATGTCTCGACCGGCCATGGTACTTGGTGGTGGTATTGAATCAGAGCATATACAAAAGAACACAGTACAGTCCCAGTATATTCGTGAGATGCTATACGCGTTGCAATGCGCAGTCTACTCTGGTACAAACAAGTGGCACCACGCTATACGTCACGTTTCAGTGCTGGTGAGCTCACATCGCGTCCTCAGCAAGACACTACAACTCGAGCGCGGTCCATGTTGTATGCGAGGGAATAGTTCTTGGCAGGGTCACCGTCGTAAACGCTGGCAATCCTGAATGTTGCGAAATAGGTGCCCGGCTCGGAATAGGTAAAGTTCGAAGAGAAGTTGACGAAATCCTCTGCGTGTGCCAGAGGGACCGAGGTGAAGTTTCCGGTACCAAGATGATCCCACTCGGCTCGGACGATCCCTCCTTGTCCGAACGGGACCTCTCCCGACCCTTCGAATTGCACTGGCTCGCCACAAGAGGTCCTGACGATCTGCTCGGCTCCGCCTACTCGAAGCCGTGCCACGGGTTGCACGCCGCCTCGCTGATTAGCCTCTTTCGGAACGGTGATCTGACCGTCTTGCAATTGATAGTTTGTATACGGGGGTTCGATACCCTTCTCCACCCAGCGGTGTAGATGATAGAGTGCGTGGAAAAGGATACCGCTATAATCGACCACGTTCTGTCGCCCTGGCAGCCCTGAAGCTCCCGGATGATCTGCGTTATCGGTGAACCAGAGCCTATAGGTATCTCTCGAAGCGTCGGGTCCCATAGCGCGCTCGACTTGGCCTCTGTACCAATCGGCATTCCAGGGGGGCGAGTTTACATCGAGCAGGTTTTGTACGACTATGGTCTTGGCCTTGAGTAGACCCGTATGATTACCCCCGCCCGAGGGGCCCGAGGCGATGAGGGAGTGAACCAAAGGAGACCTCTGAGGGTACATCGGAGTTCCCGCAGGACTATGGTCCTGACGATATTGATCATAGATACTGAAGCCCTCGCGCAAGGGTAGTTGATGGCGAGCGTAGAAGTGCGCCGCCAGGAATTTACTGTTGTCGAATAGTAGCCTGAGTCCCGGCGTGGCCAATATAGTGGCGTTGGCAAAGTCCAGTCCCGATACGTTGTACACCACCTCCTCGCTACTTGGTCGAATTTCGAGTGGAAGGTCGGGAAGGACTTTCAATACCGTGCCGTTGCAGTCGACTAGGCTCAGTTCGGCACCGGACAACGAGTAGCCGGATGGAATATCGGGAAGCTTGAAGAAGGTAGCCTGCCCGGATTCATCAACGGAGATCTCGACGATAGAGGAACTACCGCTGCGCCTTCTCTCACGGATGAAGCGCCCGAGATCGGTTTCTTCTGTTCCGACGTATCCTGGCGCGTTCCAGAAATCATTCGCGTAGGTAGGGTCGAGGCTGTAGATGGAGGGGTAGAAGCTGCGTAAAAGGCCGCTATCATAGACCCAGTTGTTGAGGGTTTCCCATTGTCGAGGCGGAAGTCCAAGCGCTGTGCACTCTTTGAATGTGGCTCGCTCTAGGGCGGTCAGCATCCTTTCAGGCTCCTGGTCGCCACCCGGAAGTATGGCGTCCGCGATCGCCTGGCTTTTGCCCTCGAGCACCAGCGTGCACATAGCGAGACTGCTAACATGATTTGGGATACTTGTAGGTATAGCTTGGATATATGGGACGCCTCCCTGCCAAACGTCTTGTGTATTTTCCAAGGCGCCGACACATTGTAGCGATCCTCCGCTACCCCCGTAAATGTACCCGTTTATGATTGAAGATTTGTCAAGACCGAAAAATTGCCTGGCAATCTGACGTGAGAACTTCGCTGTAGCGGCGTCCTGACGATAACCCAATGAACCAGAACAGGATACTGTATAGCCCCCTTGATCCGCGCTGAACAGAATGCTTTCGTCGGTAGCATTGCCTGTAGAGAGGGGGTAAATGTACTGGAAGAAACGGTTGGCGAATTCTACCTGGGCGGGTAGATAGACACTGAAGGTGATGGACGTATTGTCAAACTTTCCCAGGACTCGCCTGTGAGGGATCGGCAGGTCGATATCCCGTTCTTCCAGTATCATGGGCTTGTCGAACACGGGGTCTTCGCATATCGAGTCGACGAAGTATGGCCCGTCCAGGTAAACCGGTTGACAGGTAGGCGTCTCAGTTGCTGAGACCAGAGAAATCGGCGCGAACAGGAAGGCTAGAGCAGGAGCTAATGCCAGAGCCAACATGGTGAGTAGTCACAGAGTATATCGAGGTGGGACGTATGATGTATTCTTGGTAAGATCCATTCGGGGAGGTCGCTCGCTCCGACTCATTTCAGGTTGCGCGAATCTCGCCTGTGCTGTGATATAGGACCGGACAGGTTTCTTGAAGCAGCACATCCCAAGAAGATGAGACAGATGCACCTTTTACCTGGACCCCTCGGCCCCTCGAATATCCTCCACACCTCTACGGAGATGACGTTCGAGCGCTCGAGTTTAATCTCAGTCCTGATCTTTAACTCCGTCGGTCTAACATGAAACAAGTATCTCCGCAGGGAACAGGATTGCTTGTCTTGGCATGACGTCTGTCCGAGGCCGCCGACCTCAACGTCATGAGTTTGTCAGATCACCCCAAGTCGTTCTTCCGTACCATACCTTACCACGATATCGGTAATCTCGCCTGTCATGCTGTCAAATTACCAGTCGTGGCGAATACGAAGCGAAACGCTAGCCCGCGAGCGCGCACTGCATCTCTTAACGCGGGAACCCTTGATCGTCTCCCTTGTCGACGGGAATTGTACCGACGCATGTAGATCCTGTAGACTGTCAATGTAGGGTCTTCATGATCTGGCAGGAGGCAAGGCCACGAAGGGTCAAGAGAAGGATTCTGACCGAAAAGAACGAGACCCATCTGGTCTGCCATATTGTTTGATTCGTAGCCGGCTGCTCGAAGCGCCCGTACCATAGGGTCCTGTCCTGCGACTAGATTGCACAGAGTTGTGACTACTTCGCTCGCGACCAGATCAGGTACTGTCAGAACTGGAAGGGGCAACGAGCACCGATACGCAGCCCCCTCTGTGTATGTATCTCTGCATCCCGTCCCATCGATTTCATTCCCTTATCCAAGGACGTCAACATAAACTACATAACACATCCCTAGACGTGCATTTACTGCTGTTGAGCCTTCAACTTGTCCTGCTCGTACTTGAGGTACCAGACGTCTCGGACTCGCTCTGATCAGGATGCAAAGTGCGATATTGAGGGTATCAGCTTTCGTGGTATCCAAACAGGTGTATATCGCTCGCAGAAGGGCAAGGAATGGAGATCGAGGACCCAACTCATCGAGTTAAACGCTACTAGCAGGCTTGTCGCCGGTGGGAACCGGTCTTTTCCCGGTTTACTCGATCATCGCAAGTTGCTCACAAGGCTCGTCTGCATCTTGCCCCCCAGGCTACTTGGCTATCGACATTGCGCCTAGCCTGTGATCCACAGTGTCGGGCGGACCATATCGCCTCTCACAGCCCTTTCTGTGCAAAACATGGCTGTTTTTGCTCCCCGTTGCCGCCCTCTCATCTTTCTCCTCATGGCCCATAGTCATGGTAGCGCATGCCCCGGCATCGTCGTTCCCGTGCTACTCGCCGCTCGTATTCACGCAACAGCAGTCGGCACTGTATTCCGATCCCCCTATCCTGCGTCCTTCTGTGCTGACCGAATCCTTGCTCGTTGATGACGAACCGAGCCGAGCCTAACCCTGGTACGACCGCACACGTCGTCCTCGAGAAAGAGTGTTCCACGCAGAAGTGATCCTTGTGAGTATCGCCTCCGCCTGGTCTGACGTCCTCCTCCCGTCTCCGCTTGTCCCCGTCCATCTCTAGTTCCAACCGGTGTCACCGGACAATAGTATCTACCTCCTTATTGAATCCCTGAGCTTTGTTCCAGTGGTCCGAAACACCCAGCGTTCAGAAGCCTTAAATTCGAACGGTATAGTATTGAAAGTATCCTCGGACGCGCAAGATGGCGGCCAATAGATCGCCTCCAAGGATCCACATGTGTTCCTGAGATGAATGCCCTTCTTCCTCCTCATCCCCGTAATTCCATCATCGGGTGGACAAACGAACGGATCCCAGGAGGAGACGAGAGGAGGCAAGGAAGAGAAGAGAGAAAGAGAACACGATCGGGGGCTCGTTGATACGTACCAGCGGGAACGTTGACACCGTACCTGTTGGATGACACCAGCTCGGGGTCAGCGTTTTGATCTCGGTTCCCGGGTATACTATAGATATATCGGAAATGAATGAGAAAGAGGGAGGATACTTACCAGTAGACGTAACCTCCGGCGATTCCGAGACCGAGTCTGCGATGAACAATTCGAGCGATAGGAGTCAGCATCACCGGATCAATCAAGCCTATCCAAACATTCGTTCGCCCCGGTCGATTGCGACTGAAGCGGGTCCGGAAGAGCTTGACGACTGCTTACGAGACGGAAAGGTCGAGGACCAAACGCTTTCGGAGCTATTCACAGTCAGGGTATATGGTGATTAGCGATGTCCAGAACGACAACCGGAGGTGCATTGCGTGGGCAAAGACGGAAGCTCACCTTTCCAACGATAGGTGCGAGAGCCATTTTATGAGGATGCTTTCTTTACTGACCGGTAGATGAGGGAGGTGGGTGAAGCTGTGGAGGCGAAGAGGGTCGAAGATGCCGAGGATGGTTGTGAAGACGATCAAGGTGCAAGGTGAGATTGATTGCGCTCGAGGTGGTTGGGTCGTCGACTGTCGGGACAGAGCGGGCGAAAAGGGGGAGGGGGTTGGCGATCAGAAGAGGCTATCCGCGGTGCACAAATCGCGTCTGGTTGGACGATCGCCGCGGCGCATTCATCATCATCAATCGCAATCATATCGTCCTCGTCTTACGACAACATCGATGATCGATGACATCCTCGACCATCGCGACCATAGCGACCATCGAATACATACAACAAACCCCGCCAGCTATTTGACAACAGATCAGGATCACAGAAGTGCACTTCAATCCCTGCGCCCTCATCAGGGTGCGGAATACATAATCGAACAAGCAATTCGCGGCTCATTATCTACCACCGGACTTGCCCGAAAGCAGCCTTTGCCACACCACTCACTCATACCGCCAACCGTATCGATCGACGTCCGACCAAGATGATGAACGATGTACAAAAACGCGTACTGGCCCTGGCCACACTGTGTATGGCGGCGACGGTAGTCGCACTCGTTCTACCTGGTCCTCGTCATGTTGGGTCTTCCGTCCATGAACTCCGAGCATGGACCAAGCCGGCTCTCAACACGCCAGGCTCACCTTCCAATGAACATGCCTTCCGTCCCATACTCGCTCATGCGGCCCACCCACAATCCCGCAAGATCTTGCTGCACAACCAACCCGACTCTGTTCGACCCTTCTTCGACGTCCACGCGACCGACCTCGACCCCTCGACCGCCTTGCTCATGTCCACCTCCCCCGCTCCCCTCACTTTGCAATCGACAACGAAGACCCTCATCCGTCCAAAGAACAAGATCACCTCCCTCAACCTGACCCGTTCTGACAGGATGGTTTTCAACAGGGGGATCGAGTGGGAAGACGTCGAGGTGGAAGTCCCCGATGTCACGGATAGGGAGACGTTAAGGACGCTGGCCAAGATGGCTAGTAATGCATACGTCACGCCTGAGAGTTCAGAATGGTGGGGGTTGGACGAGTGGAATAGCGTGAGTCGAGCATCTGCTATCTAAGTGGACTGTTGTAATTTCTGTGCTACAGGCGGCTGACGTCTGCTTGTTCTGGGTTCCGTCAGTCGATCCCGTTTGGCTGGGAAAAGGACGCCGACGGACTCCGAGGCCACGTAGTAAGCCCTACTTTCCTCACGTTACCTCGATCTGAAGTCGCCAAAATCGCTTACTGAATGATGCTTTCCGACCCTTAGTTCGCCAACGATGACAATTCGACGGTGGTCATCTCCATCAAAGGGACCTCGGCCGGTCTGCTTGGAGGCGGTGGGAATACGGCCAAGAACGACAAGTTCAACGTGAGTCTGCCCCTTTCATTGCTTGTGACGAAAATTGTCATCTGGACAAGTCTGCTGATGTCACTTGCTTGGCTCGCAGGACAATCTCCTCTTCTCCTGTTGTTGTGCCAGGGTCGATTTCACCTGGTCGACCGTCTGCGACTGTTATGCAGGGGGCTACAAGTGCGAAAAGACGTGCTTGGAGAACGCCGTCATCGGGGACAGCGTGTATACGACGGTTGGGACGGTGAGTCTGTTCGGTTACGCTCGTGGCGCTGACAACTTTTGCTAACATTAAGATTGATGATGGTGCTCGGGCTATAGAACCTTTACAACAACATCTCGAACATCTTCCCGGACGCTAACATCTGGATTGTAGGGCACTCTGTGAGTTACCTTCCGGTCGAGATCTCCAGTCTATCCCTTACCGAACTGAATCCTCAACCCCGATGGATAGCTCGGTGGCTCCTTGGCCTCGCTCATCGGCCTCTCTTTCGGAGTTCCCGTCGTCACTTTCGAAGCCCCTGGGGACAGAATGGCGGCATCGAGGTTACACTTGCCCATGCCACCGGGAATGCCGATGGAGAAGATGGGGATCACGCATGTCTATAATACGGCGGATCCGATCCCGAATGGGCAATGCGTCGGGCCTTATAGTCAGTGCTGGCGTGAGCTTTCAAAGCCGTTATTGCTGTTTGTGCTGATTTGTGTCATCTTGTGTTCTGCGATCTTGTCCTTCAGGTGGTTGCTATGCTGCTGGATTTGTAAGCGAACGGTCAATGCTGTCTTTGATCTATTATCGAGGCTAATCCCAAATGTCGACCTCTTGCAGGCCATGGAAGCTCGATGTCACGTAGGACAATCCATCATCTACGATACGATCGGTCGCAAAGGCTGGGCGTCTGACCTTCGGGCGCACCGGATCGGCGAGATCATCAACCGGGTCCTCGACGAAGATTGGGACCCGGCACCTGAAGATCAGCCGGTAGAGCCTCCCGAAAAGCCCTCTTCTTCTGCTTTGTTCGAACGGGTTTTGCGGATCACGCTTGGGGAACAGTTGTGGGGTTGGCCTGGGAGGGGGTTGCCGGCAAAGCGAAAGGAGCCTGAACCGGAAAACGAGGGCAAACGCAAGAAGAAGAACCCGAATGCCGTTCCCAAAGCCGAGGCCGAGACGGAATGCGTCGACTGCTTCAGGTGGTGAGTACCGTGAAGTCAGCGCATGTGTGGACGACCTGCCAACTTGACTTTTCTCGTCCATAGGGAATACGGAGATGGAATGAAGAAGGAGCCTCCTACCACGACCATCGCTACTACGTCTGTCCACACTGCGGCTGTTACAAACCTCGGCGTCTAGAGATTTTCAGAACCTATTGCGTTTGCCAGTTGTATATACTGTACTTGTTACGAGTTTTTGTATCATTTATAATCTTCTCATTCTGCGATACGCGCGTAGCATGGCAACATCCTCGACTAGCAATCTGTCAAATGCTCCTACGAACCCCAGAAAGAATAGAAGAGATTATGGCAAGTGGTGGATATGTGTTGCAAGCGGGCCCGCTTTTGCCACCATGGGCGATGATCTAGTATTATACAACTTCTGTCGCTTCGGTCGTTATGCTTTCGTAAAGTCGGGACTGCCTGGACAGCTCCGGATGTGTAGTGTTGGGTTATCGAGGCGGGTGGTCGGCCGGGATGGACCACGCAGCTTTTGATGGGATGGTCGCCACTCCGCTAGATCCATGCATCTAGCCAGGATCGCCGGTCCTCCGTACCAATAATGGCAGTGATGTCCCGCTCGATCATTTTTGCTTGGCTTCATATACCCTGTCCCTAGCATCCCGATCCGCCTGTTGAGCGTCCAACGTGATCTGCTGCCTGATCTCTAATACCCGTCGCTTGTTGAAGTATTCGACCTGCAATCGCCCATGCGTCACTCAGCTCCACGCCGATCGCATCGATCCTCCGGTTTGAAGCCCCTTGACGTACCCAGCTCTTTGCGCAAGCTCCCTCGTAAGCCTCCCTCTGCTTTGCACAAGCTCCTTGTCCACGCGGCTGAAACTCTGGAGGGACATTGACGCCGTTGGCGTTGAGACATTGGAAGAACTCGTCTCGCGCTGCCCAACAGGCTTTGCGGTCGTTTCGCGACGGAGCGGGCGGTGGTGTTGACATTTCCGTCGATTGAATGTCGAATATGATGTATACGGACTGATAGTGGTGCGTGTACGGCGAGTCGGCAGCTGGCAGCTAGCTATAGCTATGGCATCGATTCGAGGTTGTCAAGACTCGATCGAGGTGGTGCAAGGGGAGGGTGACGTGATGGTGACGAGAGAGGACAAGCGCGGGCCGCGACCAATTGGAAGCGCGTCAGCAACTCATCACCCCGGCCCACACCCTCTTTGAGTGTTGTGTTAGCGTCATCGGGGAGCTTCCCTTTAACCCATCCGGACGTCCCTTTAAGCCGGTCAGACCAAACCTTGCCTATAGAGATCACCTTGGACATATCTTCCGCTAGATACTACGAATCATCGCCCAGGATCACACCGTGAATGACAAATATGGAGTCCGATTCTCAACAGAATTGGAGGTTTTGTCAGTGCTTCGGGGACAAGGCAGAGGTGCGTGTTGCAGCGCTCTGTTTGATTCGGACGCGACGCTCGACATAAGCCAGATCGATCTGGGCTGATAATACCTCTGTTGTGTATACCTAACGCTGTAGGATGGCGATATCACCGAGGGTGAGTCTGGCAGATACACGTCGAAAAGGCTCGGTGATGGCTCGAGCTTGGAGCTAACCGTTGTTTTGATTATCTATCCGTGATGAACCCCGATCAATCCTAATCGACGACCCTGTCGGCATCTTCCCTGCAGCCGATATCATCTCTACTGTCGAGTTCGACCATACCGGAGACTACCTGGCGACCGGAGACAAGGGTGGACGGGTGGTGTTGTTCGAGAGGAACGAGTCGGTGAGGCCCGACGATCGCTCCACCTATATCCAGTCCGGATCGCTAAAGGGTGTCCGTCGTCGTTTTCGCTCGACAATTCCGTCTCCGATCAGAAAAAAGGATGCGAGTACAAGTTCTACACGGAGGTACGTACAGTCGTTATAGCACAGCAACACGATCGTGGCATCTGAACATTACGAGTTTACGCTCCACCTTCATCTCGCGTTCCTTACACGCACCAACAGTTTCAATCGCACGAGCCGGAATTCGATTACCTGAAATCCCTAGAGATCGAAGAGAAGATCAACAGGATCAAGTGGTGCAAGCGACAGAACCAGGCCCATTTTCTGCTCTCTACCAATGGTTCGTCATCTAGCTAGGGCTTTTTTGCAACCTGCCAGCTTACCCTCCATTGATCCACCTACACGACCACAGACAAGACAATCAAGCTGTGGAAGGTCTTCGAGAAGCAGATCAAGATTGTAGCCGAGAACAACATGTCGGATGGGTATCGACCGCAAGTGGGGCCCATCCCCGGTGTGACCCCTTCACAACTCCGTTTGCCTCGAATGGTGCCGCATGAAAACATCGTGGCTGCCGTACCTCGGAAAGTGTATGCCAACGCTCACGCTTATCACATCAATTCGATCTCGATCAACTCGGATGGCGAGACATACATCTCGGCGGATGATTTGCGAGTGAACCTGTGGAACCTGGGCATCAGCGATCAGAGTTTTAGTGAGTCGTTGAAGCCGTCCCTGAACCTGTGAATGAATTGCAGAATGGTCAGCTGATCGTTCCGACTTGATTCGCAGACATCGTCGATATCAAACCCGTCAACATGGAAGAGTTGACAGAGGTCATCACCGCTGCCGAGTTCCACCCAATAAACTGCAACAACTTCATGTACTCGAGCTCAAAGGGTACCATCAAGCTCGCAGATATGAGGGCCCGGGCGTTGTGTGACGACCATGCGAAATGTGGGTCGCAATTGATCCGGAAAGGCTGCGAGCACATTCTGAATCCATCTGCGTGAACTTTTCAGTGTTTGAGGAAGAGGAAGACCCGACAAACAAGTCGTTCTTCTCGGAGATCATCTCATCCATCTCGGACGTCAAGTTCTCCAAGGACGGCAACCAGATTTTGTCTCGGGATTACCTGACACTCAAGATCTGGGACGTCCGAAACGAGAAGCAGCCGGTCAGGAAAATCAACATTCACGAGCATTTGAAGCAGAAGCTGTGTGATCTGTACGAGAATGACTGCATCTTTGACAAATTCGAGTGCACGTTCAGCGGTTCGGGAGAGTGAGTCCAGTTGACGCGGACTGGCTTAGCGCTCGACATAACCGTTCCTAACGATGCGCCCCCTGCACCTTGACCATCCACAGCCAAGTATTGACGGGATCGTACCACAACTATTTCCGTATATACGACGTCAACGAGACCGGTGACAAGGACACGGTCTTGCAAGCGGACAAGTCGGCCTTCAAGGCCAAGAAGATTGGAGGCCCAAAGAATGCGCAAAAGGGCGCGCCAGGAGCGACTGGAAAGAAGGACGGTCTGCTGACAGAAGGCATCGACTTTGCAAAGAAAATCGTAAATGCGAGATTATTTGCGATCTCCGATGTCTAGGTTGCTGACGTCGGCTTTTCGTGCGACATAGTTACATGGCAGTTGGCACCCACAGGAAAACACCATCGCTGTAAGCCTCACTTGGTCTGACCTTTGATTCGGACAGAAACTTACAGTCTTCTTATCCGACCTCTTAGATTGCTGCTACGAACAACCTGTTAGGCTACTCTCCATCAGTATCGATCATTCTTGCCATCAGCTGACGCACTGATACCTCTTCTCCCTCGACAGGTTCTTGTATTCGACCCAATCCTAGGGATCACGTCACGGCCAGCAATTCCACTTACGACCTTCTCCGCCTCTCGTTCTGTTTGTTTTCGTTTCCGATCGATCAACCTTCATCAACCGGGCAGCCCCGGAACGGTCGAGCGCATTCTCCATCATTTGCTCCTTCGATACCCTCCGTCGCGCGACCGAACAAAGAAATCCTCTCCTTTATCATCCAACGAATCAGCTGCTTTAATAATCTCCTCAACACGTACATCACCGGTTATCATCGCCATTTGTCAACATCACCTTTGCTCCGACCTCATGAACGATCCACGACTCACCTTCTCCACACATCACCGGGAAAAATAGCCAATACCAGAAAAAGTAGACCGACAATGTGGAAACAGGGTCGCAGAAACGACCTCTTCGATCTCGTCCGCGATAGTTCGAGTGACTCGCGCCTCGTACCGTCGATGAGCTCTTTTCGGCGGATCAGGCGTTCGAGAATGACGTGTCGACGATCAGGGTGGGCGTTCATGTAACGAGATCTTGTCTGGGTAACGGTGGACGTTTTGGGAGTAGTAAACAGTTACCAGGAATTGAAACGTATGGATCATGAGTCTATCTATAGAAGTAGCCCGAACGAAGCGTTTTCCCGCCGCCTGTGCAACTTGTTCCCCCGGCCTGTTTCAAAAAGAAGATGATGCTTGGGATGTTCAGTACCTATGGTTCATCGGCGGAAGCAAATTGTGTTTCCGAGCGAGCAGTCGATGATCGCGAAATCAAAACAAACCGCTGAACCGCCGACCGGACTTGATGAGATTCTGAAGCACACCCTCTCCCTCTCTCTTCGCTTCTCTGGACCTGATCGTGACATGATCCTGCCTCGAGCGTTATTTCTCTAGCACGCATCTGCCAACAATCGTGTATGCAGGCCAATTGACGTTTCTTGGCCAGCTCGAGAGCAGAGAAACCGCCGCGATACCCGGTTCCGCAAACGCCTAGAGCATCAATCAACATCATCCGAATCTGTCAACAAATCTCCGAAAATCCAGAATTTCAGAAAGCAATCTTCGATCTCGACATCGAACGACGTCACGAACAGAGCACACGGAGATCAAGTCAAGAGCCTTAGCAATCATGGAACTCGATGCTCGATTCGCAACCCCTCGACGAAAGAAGGTTGGCGGGAACATGAGCGCCGTCAACGCATTCCTGATGGAATGTGCAGCGTCACCCGACTCGCCGTTCCCTTCCACGACACTATCCGCCGCTTCCCGACAGATGGCTCCTCTTCCGAGAAGTCGGAGAGCGAGTGATGGAGAGGTCGTCGATGAGGAGATGGACGTCTTGCATACTCCTCCTGCTCTGGCACGCAAGGGCGATCTCCTCAAAGAAGAAGCTAGGACCCATGGACCCACCCCTCCCTCGAACGGTAGTCTCTACAGCAATGCTTCACACGGATCGTACAACTCGATCTCTTCCAAGTCATCCAACCTGTTGACAGACTCGTCGACACTAGCTTCTGGAGGCAGCACCGCCCGGACCCCAGATACGGGAGGGCAGGGTACAGAAGGTGGACATGATCTCGGACGCAAACTGTACGGATCTGGGCTGGGTAGGGGAGGCTCGTCGAGAGCATTCAACCGGACGGCATCGGCGCCAGTGGGCAAGACTGTCTCTCATATGAAGGATTACGAGGGAAAGATGCTGGTCAAGGAAGACGTAGTGGAAATAGTCGGGAAACAGAGCCCGTCGATCGAGTTGAGCAGTCGAGACGAGGTGAGAAATGTGCAACGTGACGTCTTTCGGAACGAGAGCTGACTTGCGTATTCGCTACATGTTCACAGAGTGGAAATGTCTCAAATACAGTAACCCTCTCAGCAGCCGCAACGCGCCCGACCCTGCATCACACCTCTTCAGCCTCGTCCTTCACCTCGAACAGCACAACCGACAAGGACAAGGCAGATGCGTACAAGACTCCGAACCTCACCTCGCGTTATCGCACGGCGGGATCGACAGATCGGCAAAAACTGCTCAGTCGTTCGACGCTGAAAGACTTTGGCGGACCCATCAAACGGCCGAAAGCCGTCTTGTCGTCAGAAGAAGGGGATGCAGAGCACCAGGACGTACCGAGTCTGCCGAGCCTTAGCGAGGGGAGAGACTCCAAGCGTCCAGAGACCTTGTTGCCTGGCTTACGGTCAACCACACCTCATGGAGACCCGCCAAGCCTTGCGTCAGTATCAATGCCTTCCCTCAGACCTTCTCCGCCCCGTTCAACGACACCCCTCGGCCCGATCTCGTCATTCGCTCCGGCTGAGAGCAGCTCGTCTGCCCGTCACCGGATGAGTCCTCCGAGAAGGATGCTCGATAGTATTCCAGATACTATCCCCGAGGCCGTCGAGGCTCCTCCACTGCAGCGAGAATCATATCTCGATGGACATCAGTCGGATGCTAGAACGTCCCACATTCGGTCTGCATCGGTTTCCCCAGAGGTCGATGGCGGCCTTCGAGCAGCCAGCTCGATTGTTGCTCGTCACCGACATTCTCCAAGCGTACCGGTTGGAACGAGCTATGGCGATCACGAGAAGGAGAATCGCCTGCCCCCTGGTCAGACGGCTGGAAAGGCTCTCAACGGGTCGGCACCGCTGCAGACTCCCGTCGCTCAGCATCTCTTGCGAGAGGTAGATGGACGACGTAGCCGAACTCCTGAGCACGACCAGCGGCATTTCGCAAGGGAGACATCCATGCACAACGTTGATACCTCACGATCATCGACGTTACGGGCCGAACAGATGGAGATGCCCATGGCTAGCGGGACATCCATCACCCCAAGACCAACGAATAACTATATACAACCTCAACCTGAAACGCAAGAGATGCAGTTGAACCATCCTGATCCCTATGGAGCGGCTCATTCGGTCGTACCGATGTATATGACCCCGGCTCAGACTGGTTCGATCCGACAACCGCAAGCGACAGAATATGGCGCTCTGCAAGCAAATCGCACGGCACCGGCTGTTCCGCCTCAGAACTACTATACTGAAATGGCAGCGGCTACGCCGGCGTCGACGTTACCACCTGGCAGGAAAGGGTTAATTGTGAGCTTTCTGTCTGGTCGGATCTGAGCCAAGTATCAATCGCTGAGATTGCTGTCCCTCATAGTTCAATGGCAAAGAATACGAGCGAATCAGTCTTCTCGGAAAAGGAGGGTCTTCAAAGGTGTATTCGGTCCTCGAGCCCGGAAATCGAAAGATCTTCGCCTTGAAGCGGGTGCAGCTGGATCGGTCTGACCCAGAGACGATCACGAATTACCTCAACGAGATCGATCTCCTCAAACGACTTAGCGGTCATGATCGGATCATTCAGCTGATAGACCATAGCATCAGCTATACTCCAAGCGGGAGGCCAAAGATCTTGCAGATGGTGAGTGCGGTATGCTGGTTTTACTGCCCTGCGCCGTATCTTACCGAAACCGCTTTCTCCGTAGATGATGGAGCTCGGCGAGACAGATTTCGCAGCTCTATTAGAGAACCAGCGGGAGAAACCGCTCAACATGAATTTCGTTGCGCTTTATTGGCAACAAGTAAGTCCAGCTCATCAGCCACGAACTCGACTATTTTGGATTAACACCTCAAACGCCTGATCCAGATGCTGGAAGCCGTACAAGCCGTACACGACCAAAATGTCGTACACACGGATCTTAAACCGGCAAACTTCGTCTTGGTCAAAGGAAAACTGAAAATCATCGACTTCGGTATTGCTAAAGCCATTGCAAACGATACCGTCAATATCCATCGAGATACGCAGGTAAGACTAGATGCACTAAGCGCACGCGTCACGCCGAATCTGATTCTCGGTCACTACTATAGATCGGCACGGTCAACTACATGTCGCCTGAAGCCATCTTAAAGATGAGCAATGCCAAAGTGCACAAGGTAAGCTAGTAACCGTTATCGGGTTCATCGATACAAGATCGCTCAATTCCCTGTACGTGCAGCTGTCGTTCTCGAGCGACGTGTGGTCCCTCGGCTGTATCCTGTACCAAATGATCTACGGAAGCCCCCCTTTCCAGGGCGTCACTGGCGGACCCTTAGTCAAAATGCAGGTGATCGGCTCAGGAACTTTCGATATCCCTTACCCAGCATCCGTCACGGCCGCGCGGAAACACAGCGAAGAACCGGCTTCTCCAGGAGCAGCTCCCGTCGTCATCCCTAGCGAGGCTATCGATACAATCCAGAGTTGCTTGGCGCATCGGAGAGAAGACCGTTTAGCCATACCTGCTTTGCTTGAACACGTTTTCCTCAAACCACAGCCAGGCGGATGTGAGTTGCACCTGCGAGAATCTCAGACGGTATTGCGACAAAGGCTAATCGGCAATGTTTCACAGCTACATCATCACCCGTCCGGCTGCCACCAGACTGGAGTGCGATCTCAAAGCAGAATATGACTCAGCTGGTCAAGTATGTCATCTCTTCTGCTGGACAGCGTCAATGTCAGGAGTTGGGCGAGGAAGGTCTGGCAAACGTGAGTGGAGTCAATCTGCCAACATGCAAAATATCGTTGTTGACCTGCAAGCGACAAAATCAGTTCCTGTTCCAAGATCTTCGGCGCAATATCAACCTGGAGGCTCTTGGACTTCGCAAATAGTCCAACGCGATACCTTTCTTCCTGCTTTCGGCCTCCATCTCATCTACATTGATTTCGCTCTCAACACTGCTATGCAATCCTTCTGGCTCTGTACCATCGGTACTCACTGTAAATCTCGCCTCATTGAGATAAATCGCTCATATATAATGTTACCGCTTGTATTACAAAAAGACAGGATGACTGTATTCAAGGGAACCTCATCTAAGTGGCAGCCGCGACGGCAGTAACAGAAGGGGTGGGGTCGATCTGACGCTTGGGGTCCATGAATGCCATCAAGATTTCCTCGGTAACAGCCGATCGCCGCTGCGAGTAGAGCGGAATGTCAATAATCGAGTGCAACAAAGATGAACTTCTCGACTGACCTCTTGGAAGCTCTTGACTTCCTCTTGCAACTTCTTGATGCACATCGCCTTGAGCTGACCTGTCAGCAAGGTTCCGGCTCGGTAATCCTACGAGGCTCGAATGTAGTCAGCGCAGGTATGCATCCCTGGCATCACGGGATTACTTACGGCTGCAGTCTTCGCCAGGAGCTCGTCGTCCTCTTCGTAAAAGGACAGGTATTGGAATGCTACATCGACGTCTGGGTTTCCACCGTTCTGGCGATGGAGCTCCTCGGTATCACCACCACCAGAGAACCCATGTCGGTTGATCTTGTTCTTGATCTGGTTGGGGGTGTCCGTCATGTAGATGGCAGAGTTGGGGTCCGAGGCGGACATCTTGGTCTGTGCACCCTGGAGCGCTGGCAAGAACTTGCAGTGCAAGAGGCATGGTTTAGGGTATTTGAGCTTGTGGGCAACGTCTCGCGTCAACCGGAACTATCGACCCATGTGATCAGTATGAACAAGGTTTAGAAGGACAAAAGATGCTAAAGCGACTTACGTATGGGTCCTGGTCAATGGCACAAGGGATCAAACAGGGGATGTCGTGCTTCTCCCCAAAGATCTGGGGGAACGAGTTGGAGAACGAAGGAGCGGCTTGGACGGCAACGAAGTGGTATTTGCCAATGTTGTCCCTGTTGAGTGGAGATTCAGATCAGGTAAAGCATCCGAAAACTAGGTAGCTCGGCCAAACATTGTTTACGAATCGTTGAAACCAAAGGTTCCCTTGCTCTGGTTGTGGGGGATCGCCCGAGCGATCTTCAAGATGTTTCGGTAGAAAGCGCCGCTGAACAGATATGCCCAGAATTTAGATGATTATCCCTTGATCATACCATCAATCACTAGAACCCACCCAACGTAGTCCAGATCAGAGAAGATGAAGGTTTTCTTGAGGTCAAAACCACAGGCGATAATATCCTTGGCATTCTCGTAAGCGAACTTGTGAACTTCGTCCAGCTTGAGATTGGGCTTCATCAAAAACTTCTCATCGTCTGCGACGGAACTATTTAGTCACTACGGACACATCTTTATATCACGGAACGGGACTGGTCTCACCTGTCAGCTGGATAACCAATGGACAGTCAAAGACCTTCTGCAACCAGCTGTTTTGTCGAATGAGATCGTCAGTCAAAGACCGACAGAGCTTGTATTTCATCGGGTCGGAAGACTCACGCCGTGAAGGAGAAAGGAATTTGGTGCCCCATGTGCATCGATCCGCTGGAAGGTCCTCGACCGGTGTACAAGTAGAACGGCTTCCCCTGCTCGAATCGATCGAGAATGTTGTTCAGGTCTCTTCATGGGGGGAGGCAAGTTCACGGTCATCGGCCTGCTGACACAGATTGTAATAATCGTAGCCGAACTTACCGGTGGGAGAAAAAGGTCTCCCGGCGGAGCAAGCGATGGGCTCGGTGTCCGGTCAGACGCTCGAACCTCTCCAAGAGCTCAGAGGTGATTCGGCGGGTACCGAAGGTCTCAATAAGCTTATCATAGTTGCTGTATGACAAATACAAACATCAGTTTGTAGAATTTAGAATGTACGGCATTTACTAGAGGCTTACATCTCGAGCGCTTTACCGTCAGCGCTGATCTCTCCCTGGACGTCCCAAGGAGTGACAAGCTGAGCAGATGGCTTTGCGGGAGCCTCGGTCGTGACAGGAGCGGGAGCTTTGGCCGGAGCAGCGATTTCGGATTTGATCCTACATTGGCGACAAGTTATAGTGTCATTTTAGCATCAAGACGACATATCACCGTAAAGATCTGAGCTTACGCTGAGCCGCTCTTCCCTTCCTCGTTGACACTGCTCAAGCTAGGCTGACCTTTACGGTGGCCTCGAGCGAAGCTAGGGGTGCTATCGATCACAGGGCTGGTGATTCCGACGACACTTCCCCTCCTGACAGCCTCCGGAATCTCGTACTCGGTATCGAGCTTGACGTTGTCCCAGTCGGCCGCGTCAACACCTCCTTTGCCCTCGCCAGCTCCTCCGAAAATACGTTCCGGCTGGGGAAAGTCCATACCAGCCCACTTGGCCGAGAGCTGTTCCGAGGCATCTCCTCGCCTACCATCCACCTGCTGGATCCTCTCGGGAGTTGGGAAGTCCATGTTGGCGAGCCTGGTAGACAGCTGCTCGGAGACTGATTCTCGACGCCTGTTGTCGACAGACTGTCCGATCCGCTCTGGGTCAGGTAGCCTCATTTTGGCGAGCTCCTTCATAACATCGTCAGCGTTACTTTGCCTACGAGCATGTCCCGAGGTCTGAATGGGCTGAGCAGCAGGTTCTTGCCTTGTCTGGTGTGCGTTGTGAGACGGGAAGGCGAATCCGGTAGGCTCGGGAAGGTCGAGCTCAGCGAATTGGGTTGCAATCTTGTTGGGCGTCAGCTGCCCGGATGCGAGGAACCCTTCAGGAGGCACGAGAGAGTCGGACATGGTTGCAGATACTATCTATGTGTTTGCGAGATTTCTGCGATTGAAAAACGGAGGACAAGGTGGATGGACTCGAGTTCCGTTACAGCTAGTTGTTGTAGGTTTGGTATTTGTGTGGAATCCGAGACTAGAGAAGGTCCCGGGTCGAGGTCGACATGCTCCCGCGTGCGTGAGAAGCGCGTGCCCTGCCCCCCCCCCCCTGGACATTGCGGCAACGACTTCAGATCTCTCGGACCCAGACTATTCGAGCTCAATGACGCTAATCGCTCCGGTGTCAAGAGGAACTAACGAAGCATTCCCCACCATATGGATTGCACCTTGAAGAGAGTTTCATAACAGACGGTTATGCGGCATAAGATACAGGCCTAAAAAGGTCAAAAAGATAAATACAATACAATAGCCCGGAATCGAACCGAGTGCTAGCCGATGGCAACGGCTAATGTTACCACTACACCACTATTGTGAAGCTGTTTTAAATTTTCTGTTATCGTGTATGACCATCTGAAACGCGGAATAACAACCTTCATTCTTCCTTAAAACTACGTCGGTCCTCGCCTAAATTCTTGCATATGAACCTGTACAGCTATTCAACATTGTATTACATCGGTAGAGTATTCAAGAGAACTCTGAAGTGGATTTAGGAGGTGTTCCTCGTTCAATACTGTTCATGGCGATTTCGCTCTCCAATCCAGCGTGAATCTCGAGCATATTGAGCTACAGTACGCGTAGGGGTCATGGTCAAATGCGTTAGGCAACATATTCGAAACGACCGAGTGGATCCAGTGGCTTACCCGCTTGAGTAGAAACGACGACAAGAAGCAGGCGCAGGCTGTACGTCAACGATATCAGTCGGCGCATACGGTCCAATTTCACCGAGATGGGTTCTTACCGAGGGCAATAGCTACAATCCAGACCTTGTTCAAGGCGTTGCCGTACAAGTCGATGACCGGGGCCTGCCATTTGAGATTGATTGAATCAAAAAGCTAGTTGAACGAGGATGCCGACCGTACTTACCTGCATCTCTGTCGGCAATCTTCTAATGGCACCGGGACTACTTAGTATGGACTCGATCAAGTGGCCGCTCAGGTAGCCGGTATGCTCCAGATCCTGTTTCAGCTGCTCTTCAAGCGATCAGTGGGGTGATAGGAATGGCGCGTGACAACATTTACCCACCTTGTTCTCGAACAGGTTGGTGGAAACGGTGATTCCAACTATTCGCCCAATGAAACTGGACCAATTCTGAGCCGTCGTTGCGTGCGGTTCAAGGCCCGAGCGCGTCGCATAATTCGCCTGCACGATGACGATGACAATGTTCAGAACGGCCCCGACCCCGACTCCCGCGATGATTTGGTAGCCAATGATCTTGGCAGTGCTGGTTTCCGGAGAAAGGGTGTAGAAGAGCCCGCAGGCGACTGCGGCTAAGGCCCCGCCGACGGGGATACTAGGCCAGAGGTGACCTTTTCGCTCCGCGACCTTGCTGACGATGACTATCGTTGGGCACATGGCCAATTGTAGCGCCAGAAGTAGCTATACGGGAGCGGAGTTCCGTTACTAGATGACAGAGCGGAACAGACTGTGGACTTACGACTCCTCCTTTGGTCGCGGTTTTTCTGTCGTCGGAGACGAGCCATGTAAGGTTCAGCAAGGAATCATGTAAGGTTCAGCAAGGAATCATGTAAGGTTCAGCAGGAAGAACTCGTCTTGAGACTCCGCACACGTACCCTTTAATTGCCTGGAAGTAGATGGAGAGGTAGTACAGCATGATGACAACGACTCCATAACCTTTTGGGGAAAGTGGGGGTACGTGCAAATGTCAATCTCTATCCGGAGCAATCGCTTGTACCAGAATCTAGACCCACCAAAAAACGAAACGAGAGCACCGCCCCTGTTCGATATCTAGATTCTGTCAGGGTATGATTGATCGTCGTTCCACTTCCTAGACGTACCACAGGTGTCGAGATCTGAATAGAGGAGTCGGCAGCATAGCGCGCGGACCCATCCAGATTGACCAACCGATGAACGCGATCAACAAGACAGGTGTCAAGATCAAGAGCTGTAGCAAACCAGTCAGTCTCGTAGTACGATGGGAGTATGTTCTCGTATGCGACTCACAGCAAGTACGGGTGCGCTGTTCCATTCTTTTGTGATGCCTCCCCACTGAAGGGACATTCCGAAACACGTCACCCATCCTACGCACAGGGCGGAGCCAACCCAATCCATCCGTAAGATCCTCTGGAATTTAGTCCTGTTATCGGGCTTGCCATCGAAGGGGAGCATGGTCACGCCTCTGGGTATAGTCCACATCAACAGCGGGAGCATTGCACCTGTCGTTTCGTTTCGATCAGCTAGCGCGTCGCAAGCTGCTCGCAGCGAGATAGAGCGTACCTCCCATCGGAATCGAGATATAGAAACACCTGTCAACAGGCGCGCCGAAGCGATCAGAACTCTTTATTACGGAAAAGCGCAACACATGCACTATTCACCATCTCCACCCATCCTCTCCCATGTCGGTGAAGGCACCTATGCTCGGCCGATTTAGTGATATAACCCGTAACATCGAGTTGGGTCTGCTCGCTTACCTCCAATCACAGGCCCTCCGACAGAAGCTACCAGGAAGACAAGACCGTAAAGACCGAAAAGAGCAGGTCGCTTAAGAAGTGGAATTATCTGTCCGGCAATGACGTATGACGCTGCCCATCTGCGATCAGAAGCAGGGAATAATTATCAGCAAGACCTCTTGTTCCTGCGACAGCTGGTACTCACAATCCGGCCCCTACACACAGCGAAGACAACTCATGAGCAGATGTGCCTCTCCTCTCCGCCATACCGGTACTTACCTCCTAAGCCAGCCACCGCCCGTCCGATGATCAACATGTTCATACTCGTAGCCGCACCCTGTGAGCGATACCATCAGCTGGAAACCAGAAGGGCCCGCTCTGCCTAGAGCGAACTCACGCATATCGCGCAACCAGCCAAAAAGATCAGGCAACAACCCAAGTAGACGAGCTTCGGTCGTATGATTGTCATCAACTGGGTAAACCAGCAGATGAACCCGGCACAACAGATGAAGAAGGCGCTGTTCAGCCAAGCGAGCTTTTCACCTTGCTCGACTGGTCGGCCAAAAACAGGGTTATCAGTCGAGGACTCGCGTGAAGAGGTCGATGACCTTAGCCTTTTCAGTGTGGCTCACACTCGTTTAACAGCTGTGGGACGGCCGAGGTGATGATGAACTGATCCAGGGCGAACAAGAAGATGTACATGCTGCCAACAAGCAGATATCAGTCCAAACGCTATGAAAGGGCATTTGTTTCCCGGACCGGAAAGGACATACCAGAGACCCAGGAAACAAAGCTTGAATTTGGGATCCGTAGTATAGTCAATGGTTCCGCTGACCGGCTCTTGTCGGTTGACATCCTGGTCGAGCTCGACTTCTTCGAATTCTTGTTTACCCATGAGGTGATGATCAGTGTGATAAGTTCCGCGAGAGACAAAAGACTCTGCTTTGGGAGAGATGCTCGACCTGCGAGCGCTCTGAGGTTCCTCCAGGGTGGTCATGACGGACGATGACGGAATGTGTTTATATACAACCAACAAGGCCGAACGGTGGGGCTTGAGACAGGATATTGCATACACTCATAACCGAGACAGCCGTGGAATCCACTGAACCTTATATAGAAACGTTGTAACTGCGCCGCATGCAGAGCTGCTATTCCATCCACTATCTTCTATCTTCTAAAGCTGGTTGCCTTTCGGTTCTGCGATAATCCCTTTTGGAAGCCGGAAGGAAGACCTCCACATAGACTTCTATCAGGGTCAAAAGTCTCAAAGGGTGGATGTGTCGCCGAACCCCGTGCGCCTCTCCGACCCCACAAGGGGGACGGCGATCATCACGCGGTGCGCGCAAACGGGCGTTTCAGCAGATCAGAGAGTCGACGCGGACTTTCCCGCAGGCCGGCTCGTTGTTCGGCCCGTTCGCCAAGTACCGTTGACGCCATCAAAAGGCATGGCAGCTATGCAGAGTGATGGGTGATCCGACGATGACAGGGGGTAATTCGCCGCTCCTGGCGATCACAGGCTCACCGAACTCGTTCTCACGGTAGCCTGCTCGAGGCCTGCTTTCATGTTCATGTAGCCCAAAATATACAACCGGGACAATGGAAATACGATAGTGCAATCACCAGGGGAACGTTCTTCGTCAGATCCGGGTCCTGTTCCATTACAGGACTAACTATCCTGCCCCAACACCTAGGCCTGACAACCATCGATTCGCTACATTTCTAACGTTGTCCCCAGCCGAGCCCCCGCCACCACCTCGCCCTCCACCGCTAAAGTTGGACATGAGCGAAATCGGATTGTTCTGGTTGATTGAGGCTTGACGCAACGCCCTCGTTTGACGGACTGCCAGTACATATGCCGTCGTTAAGTTAGCGAGCGAAAGGAATCGACGAGGTGCGTACATTCTTACTCACCACAACTAGCTATCTCTGCCAGATTCGTCTCCAATACCAACCCGCCTTGGATAATCTCGGCCAGCACCAGATGCACTTCGTCAAAGTGAAAGATCAGGTCGAGTTCGCACACGTTTTCGAAAGTTCGGTCCAGGGATTCCACAAAGACTTGGATGAGATCCAGGATTCCTAGCTCTGATTCCGCACCGTCTACCACAAAGCTGGGTGAGTCGAAGATAGGGTATATGGCCGTTAGCGAAACTCTTTCATCTCGTACCATTAATCGCGATCTCGACTCACACAAAGTATAGCGTGGCATAATGCCTGTAGATGATCCGCGACTCGTCCTCGTCATCCTCATCATCATCACCCTCATACCCTTGTCCATACCCCTGCCCATATCCAGCTCCCATTCGACCCTTGCCCTTCCTCCTCGGCTTGACCTTGCCATCCGCCCCGACCCTAGGGAAATGAAGCCCGGGTGCGTCGAGAAAGTTGCATAGACCTGCTGGTCGATCGGAGACGAACGAGAAGATCTGGGAGAGCAGGGCTGACTGTGATTGAGCGGGGAGAGGGGTATAGAATTTGGACAGCCGGGCTTTGCCTACAATACGGAAGGAAGCCGCAGGAGAGGTGTATATCAGTCGGCAGTGCTTGTCATGAGGCGAAGAACATGCCTCGATGCTAACCGTGGTTATTAAATATGAGAACCGCTTGGATCATATCGACAAATGCAATGCTTTGATGCCTTTGGGGCGGTATTGCCTGCCGGGTAAAAGGACGGGAAAGACTCTTGAAGCTACTGATCTAGTCGTTCAGCTTATCTATGACCGCTATGACCTGGCCCGAGTCATGCGAGTCACCTATAAGCTATAAGCTAGGTAGCTGCAGCTATAAGCTATAAGCTATAAGCACGTATTCATGTTCACGCTTCCCGATTGCCAAGTTGGCCAGTCGGCCGATGTCGTCAACAATCACGTAAGGCAATGAGACTGACAAAAACGGATATGCGTTATCATGCTAGGATTCCAGAAATCATCGATAGTTTACCGGACCTCAAAGCGCCCTAGAACGTAAATGCATTCGTAGCGCCTTGCAAACGGAGGGTATCGCGGAATGATATACGGCTGAGCGATATGGGTTTGAGGATATGAGAATTTGAGGGTGGTGACATGATGACATGACGAGATGTAACGGAAGGTAGTGATTCGGAGACTGCCGAACAGCGACCAGAGCTTGGTGGTATGCGACACAGCGCTCACAGATCACAAACCTCGTATATCTATTTTGAAGGCACTGGTAATCAGACCCGCAAAGCTGGACAATTGCACTCGAGGCGCTACACCTACTCGAGAAGCAGGAAGCAGGAGGTATTCTGATCCCTTGTTTCTGCCTAGCGCGCCGAGGTGGTTGCCTCCCGGCGCTCATCGCCCGTATATACTCCGCTCATGTTCGTTCTATCTGATGATGTGCTGCTTATGCCCAATGATTTAAGTCGATTTAAATCGAGTCGCTGCGTCTAGCGCTTCGAGACGGTTGCGGGCGAAAAATCCGATTTAAGCCAAGTGAAAACAAGGGTTTCTTCAGCGTAGAACGCGACTTGGCTCGCACTTGTTATCGACTCGATTTAAATCTAATTTAGGCTGATTTAACTCGCTTATATAGCTCCCGCGCCCGTAGGGCGCCGCCCCCAGTGAAATTAGTCATGAAATACCTGTAATTCTAAGCGCAGAACGCCCCTACTCGAACACGATTATTGCTTCGAATTTGAAACGATTCTGATGTTTCACCCTAGCCAGATTGCTTCTAGCTGTCTCGAATCTTGCATACACCATCTCTAGACCTAGATGAATAACATACTCAGAGTTGAAAGCGTTTGAAACAGTTGTCAAGAACCTATTCAAGTGCGATAGTTGTTCATACGTGTTGGGTGCAATTAAGTGCGTTTTCAGTGAAAATCGGGTTCGAAATGATGTAACTTCTCGACAGATAGTAAGATCGTTCTGAGCTCATAGTATGTTGATTCTGTGGGTGTAATAAGATCATATTTCATTCGAGAGCCCTCTAGTACAAATACAACAAGCCTAAGCAGTGAATTATAAGGTTATCGATCGAAATCGACCTCTTCTCCGTTCTCGAATACCGATATGAAGTCGGTATCGGTGTACTTCACCGGAAGACCTTGTAGGGCCTCCTCTAGTTCCTCGAGGTGGATCTCGAGCTCCCCAGCCATCTCGACAACACCGTTGATCGTCGTTCCCGTGATATGAACCTCGTCGTTCTTGACGTGCTTCTGGATCTTTTGAAGCAGGTCTTTTAGCTGCTCTGCAAGTCCCGTCGGCACGTCCTCTGCTAAGGAGGCCCTGACCCTAACGAGGTCTCCGTTTTGGACCTCAAGCGAACACTTCTCACCGACGAGAGCACATTGAGCGCATCGACCGGTCGGTGAAATCTGCTTGCATTTCAGGATGATACCGGGAACATCATCCGATATCTTCCTCTTGCTTCGCAGAGGCAGCTGTAGGCATCCCTTGCAACGATGACGACCCTCAAAGATCTTCCCAGTAGTACTGAAGAAGATCTTCATCGCAGACTAGAAGACGAAAGAAGAAACATAAGCGAAAGTCGATCAGTATTCTTCGGTGAAAATGTCTCGGATTTCACTTGCGAACTTGAATACTCACCTCCATGTGCGCTGACGCCTTCCGTTCGACCTCACCCGTCTCCTCGTTCTTCTTCCCGGACTTTACCGGCTTCTGCTGCTGCCTCCAGTAGTCAAAGACCACCTGAGGCTTCCAGTATACCTTGGCTTTTCGATATCGCCAGAAATACTTCATCACCTCTTCCGACTCAGCTCGATCACGGTCGTACTCGAAGCTGGGGTCTTCAGCAGCAGCAGCAGCTTCCTCCGGGTCTTCCAGCTCATCCACGTCATCGTCCGGGGGAGGGGAGGAGCTGTGAGACATAGGGATAGAGATATATAAGTCAATGTTCTCGGTGAAATTGTCTCCTCTTTCACTCACGTCTTCCTCTTCTTCTCTGACCTCGTCTTCGTCTTCTTCGACTTCGACTTCCCTTCCTCCTCGACATACTCGTCCTCCGAGTCACCAGAGCCCGAGTCTGTGTCCTCCCGAGCTCTCTTCTTCTTCTGCTGCTCCTCCCAGCGGTCAGCCTCCGCGTTCTCTTCCTTCTCGCGATCAGCCTTCTCGCGAGCCTCGCGAGCCTCTTCTTGAGCGGCCAACCTCTTGCTATGCCGAGCAGCAGCAGCCTCTGCACCTCCCCACTGCTTAGGCTTGGGCCTAGAAGAGGATGAGGCGGTCTATGAGCAGTTTATAGGCTTGTAAGTCGTTTATTCGGGTGAAAGAAGGTCAAGTTTCGACGTACGGCGTTCTTGGAACCTTGGGCGTCGGACATGGCTTTAAACGGGAGTAAAAGAACGAGGTGAAACGTGTAAGGGGTAAGTGAGGTCTAGAGCAACAGTACGAGGTGTTTTGAAGTGTCTAGTATTGATAATAAGACTTAGAACGATATCGAGGTAGTTGATGTAGATGAAGGTCCTTGGGTGAAATCGGTCGACTAGACGTTCTTGAAAAACGACGATCATCTGGTGAAATTCGCTTATTGTTCATCGACCGTTTTTGTGTTTTTTGACGATTTCGCTTCTCGAGCTAAAAAAACGAGTCGTTCCTACTAGAATTCAGTCTAGATCAAACACGTAGCTTTAGACACACAGTAGATAGCTGTACAGGGTGAAACAGAACAGGATTTCGGGGTATAAACTAGTAAACACGAACAACAGGCTATAACATTCGAAAAAAGGTGAAAAATCGACAAAACGGAGTTCAAGTTCAGTTCTGTTCGCTGTAATCGCTTCGCTTGCGACTGGTACGAGCAGTGATCTGCCCCGACGCCTTGAGTTCGTCTCTGACCGCTTTAAGAACCGCAGTGACCGTCTTCTGAGGATAACGAGCCTGGAATCGTTGCCAACCAGCTTCGGTGAAATCCATTGCTCCTTCATTCAGCGAAGAGTATGCTGACCCCAAACGGGATCGCTGGACGTAAACGTTCTGCGTAGCGAGCTCGTCCTTGGTCTTCCCTTTCGTACACCATTCGTTTGGCCAGTCCTGCAGTGCGTACGGGTGATGGGGATGGAATCCTCCTAAGAACCACTGCATTACAGCCTCCTTGACATCCGCAGGTGCGGGGATTTCGGGTTTGTCTCTTTCGATGATCTCCCCGCTGCGTCGTAGCCTCAACACAGGTCCAGTGAAGGTTGTGGTGTTTGCAGTGACTGCCCTCGTATACGGTGCACACTGTAGCATGGCGTCGACCCTCCTTTCGGACGTCTCGAGTCGTCCGGTGAATGACGAAAAGACCGAAGAATTCACTGAAGAACTCCCGTTTGATGCGGCCGGTATCATCGATGTCGATGTCGATGTTGATGCCACAGGATTGGTCTCAAACGGTTGTGCGAGACCACGAGCCTCCAGCATGTCATTGAAACCCTTTAGAATCTGTTTCGTAATATCGTTCTTGTCGTCTTCCGTCTGATATGTGTTCTGATGATCAGCCAGGTGAAAGGCGATAGGGATTTCACTCGGGATCTGAACTCACCATCGAATTGGGTCCCTGCGTCTGTGTAACGATACGATCTCTGCACAACTCCTTCAGGCTATCAATCTCACGTACGAGGTCCCTATGCATTGACTTCTGCTCTTGTCGGACGGCCAGAATGTCTCCCGATTTCGCTGGGTACAAATCACCCGGTGCTGCTTGATTGACAGTTTTGTTTGGGTTCTTTTGAGGGTGGTGCATGTCCCCGTAGGTCCTCTCGACCTTGAGAAGGTTCTCTAGAAGGTACCGTGCCATCGTACCGACCTGGTCGATGAAGTCGATCGAGCGTACACAGATGAAGGAGGTGGCGAATGAAAATGTCAGGATATTCACTGTGGACTTGTCCTTACTGTTTACGTTCGCTAAGACTTACAGACTCGCCCTCGACCCAACCACCCCACCAGGTAAGGCTTGTAAACGACCACCGACCCGCAGGATCGAAGCTGAAACGCCACTGTGCTGCTCCTCGTCTGAAACAGTGCCCAGTGAAGTTACCGTTCGGATACGCCCTTGCGAGGCCGGATTGATCTAATATACGGTCCCAAATGACCTGCCATGAGCTCGCTGGCATCCTCTTGGTGAAATCTACATTCCCTCGAGGTGTAATAACAGGGAACAAATAGTATTCGGGCGCTCAGTCGAGGTGGGTGATTTTTCGAAGGTGATTTGCCCAGTTCTGAAGGTGAGTCCAGCAGTACGCAGGGAGCTCGTCGGGATTGTGAGGAGGGTGCACCTGATACGTTTGCCCTGTTGATGTATTTACAGAACAAACAAATAACAAGAGAAGCAAAGATAGTCATAAGTTTCGCAATCGGAGGACTCCCGGTGAAAGAGGGAGCATTTTCACTCACCCTTGCGCGGATCGTGCTGATTCGTCTTTCGCCACATCAGATGAATCATAGTAATCCTCTCGCCTGGATAGGCAGGGCTGTATCCATTCTCCTCGATAGCCTTGACCTGGAGACTGAGGATCTCATCCATTCGACAGAGCAGGAACCACGTTGTCGTCATGTACGCAAGTGCGAACAGCCATTCGGTCCGAGTCTTCGGATCCGTTTCTATGTCCAACTGCGAGTTCACCCACTTGACGAGGTGGAGCAGATCGGGAAGGTGGAGAGGGAGAGACTATAAGGAATGATCGACAGCCAGAAATGTATAAGCACACGCAAGGTGAAAAGGACACCTCTTTCAGTAACCATGCGACCGACCTGATCACTAGCCATGCTTCGACCATCCCGGTTCTTGATCGACTTCATGAGGTCCTGTACGAGTGTTACGGGATCATCACGTGAGTCGACTACCGACACACAGGCTAGATCTACGGACATCAGCATACACCTAAGTCCGGCTCGACGAGGCGAATCCGATTCCCTCGGAGCAGATTCGGTCGTCCCTACCATTCGCCTTACCATTCACCGAAACAACAATACGTTCCCGGTACACATCACACACAGGTACAAGGACCTCGAGGTACACGACAACTCTACTCAGGACCTCGCCAACCTTACTCGACGTACCTAGGGACAAATGAGAACTCAAACTCGCCTCCTCTACCGAATCCGGTTGCTCTCGACAGGATTCGTCTGTTCGCCATCTCGTTCTTCCAGTTTCGCCATCTCTCGCCATTCTTTTCTCTTGGGTCTTTTCAGTGTTCGCCAGCCTCGTCTCCGTACTCGTCTCCGTATAAATAGCTAGAGGAACTTGACCGAATTCGATAGAGGACGCTCTGTAATAGTAATAGGTCAAGTTCCGATATCACATTCAATACACGCCTATCTGACTTGTTACAACATCTTCAAGACGTGTTGCGGAGAGGTTACAACTCAAGGACGTCGCTAAGTATCTACGCTTCATCGTTTTACCTTAGACCGAATCCGGTACCTCACACCGAGTGATCACCTTCCTTATCCATACATCTCTGGATTCGTATCCCGTACCCGAACCCGCTTCATCTAAGCGAACTTGCGACATTCTCCCGACTACCTGCGATTCACCTATAAGCACCCTACGCCTTACGACTTAGGACCTATCTCGATTAGCGACTTCCGCCGTAACAGCATATCGGAACTTCTTTATCGCACCTGGTTAGGACAATGTCAGTCTATTCCGAAAACCACGACCTGCCCCCCGAGGAAGAACAGCGGTTCTCTCGAGCCAGGACCGGCTCGATCGAAACGAATCCGGCTCCTAGGGAAACGGACTCTGAACGTATTGGTCGTCTCGAAGAACAAATCCTGGAACTCATGCAGACGATCAGGAAACAAAGAGACGAACTCGCTACACGAGAAGAGATTCCGGCTCCCCTTCCTCGAAGGCAGTTCAACATCTACCCATCCAACCCTCCATCTCTAGCGGGAACTACTATCGATCCTAGAGAACTTCACCGACCTTCGGTAGCTCGGTCCAGGGATCCCTATACTCCTATGAGGGACGTTCCCCTTCGGGAGAATGAAGCGGATCTGCTTGCCAAACGGACCAAGGAACCGAAACCGGCTGATCCACCCACGTTCAAGGGAGACGCCAAGGAGTTAGACGAATTCATCGTTAAACTCAACATGGTCTTCCGACAATTACCTGGACGCTACCCCACTGGAGGATCCAAGATCGATTTCGCTATCGGATTTCTTGGAGGGCGAGCCTTTAAAACGGTTTCGTCTTATCTCCAGTTGGATGAAGCGGACCAACCCCTTTTCCTACACGACTACGATGCCTTCAAGAGGTTCTTGAAGCATAACTTCGGGGGCTCCAACGAGAAAGCTGCAGCCCAAGCCGCTTTAGACAAGCTGGTTCAAACCGGATCCGCTTCGTCTTACTTCTCCGAATTCACCCAGTACAGTCCCTTGTGTGGCTTTAACGATGAAGCTCTTATCGCTGCAGCAAAGAAAGGACTGAAGGCCAAGGTGGTGGAACGTCTCGGTATCCTGAACAAACGGATGGAGTTCGCAGACTTCAACGAGTTCAGGAATGAGGCCGTCGACGCGGACAATAGGCTTCACGATGATGGGGTTCTCAACCGAGAGGACGAGAAGCGGAACGCTCGCAAGGATAGCAGGAAGGAACCGAATCCGGTTCGATCCGAGCGAGTTGTCACCGAACGGACCAAAACCTATGAGAAGGAGGTCGTCAAACCCAGAGGTTCGACTCCTTACCAGAAAGGTCCTATTACCGATGAAGAAAGGAAGAGGCGCCGCGACCTCGACCTTTGTACTTATTGCGGGAAGGCCGGACACTACGCTTCAGCCTGTCCTGTTCTTGCCGGCAGAAATGGAGGAAGTACTCCTAATGTCGAACGAGCTAGAAATGCGACAATCGAAGCAGTTCCGGCTCCCACCTGGGCATACAAAGCGAATCGAACCGAATGGATCAAGTTTCGCTTCCAGGGGCAAGACCCTCTGATTACGGTGGACTTCCATGCAGGAGCATCTTCTTTTACGACCGATGCCCTGATCGACAGTGGAGCCAGCTGTAATTTCATTCGTCCCTCTGCGGAGGTACTCCAATACGTTGAGGCGATCCCTTATGATCAGCCGAAGCGACTCCGGTTGGTTGATAACCAACCTAACCCGAATCAGCGAGGAGAGATCACTCATTACGTGAATCTGATCTTCTATGTCGGAGGACACATCGGTCCTTACTCCCTCGACTTCGACATTGCGGAAATTGCGGCCCCAGACATTATCCTGGGAGTCCCATTCGTCAAAGGTCTTCGCACCATCACGGATTGGGACACTTGCGAGATCAGTTTGATCAAGCCGGATTCGCCTCTCAAGGGAACGAATCTGGAATATTTGGAGCGAAACCGGTTCCTCCGAAGACAAGACCCGGAAATTGTCGACACAGATGTCGATCCTCGAGCGCTACGGGATTTAGGTCTGGAACACGACGACGAAGAGGATTACGACCTCGCATCGGAAGAGATGCGTCAAGTGATCCCAGTTGAGTTTCATGACTACTTAGACGTATTCAGGAAAAGCGATTACACCAGCCTTCCTCCCCACAGGTCGTACGATCACGTTGTGGAACTGCTACCAAACGTGGAGTTAAAACGACTCAAGCCCTACCCACTCTCTGCCGCGGCAGACAAGTGGCTCAAGAATTGGATCGACGAATCGAGGCGGATTGGGCACATTGAACCGAGTTCGCATTGGTTCGGTTCCCCGGTCTTCCTCGTGCCAAAGAAGACTCCCGGAGAATTCAGGATGGTTACCGATTTCCGAGCATTGAACAATGCTACAAAGAAGAACGCGTATCCGCTTCCGAAGATCAATACCACCTTAGAACGAGTTAGCAGAGCTCGCTTCTTCTCCAAATTCGATATGCCAACTTCGTATCAGTTACTTCGAATGCGAGAAGAGGACGAGGATTGGACGACAATCCTAACTCGCTACGGGTCATTCAAGTCTCGAGTAATGCGAGAAGGTATGACCAACGCAGGAGCCAGTTTCCAGTTCTTCATGAACGATGTGTTCAACCCCCTACTGGATCAGGGTGTTACCGTATACATTGACGATATTCTGGTGTATACGGAAACGAGGGAGGAACACATTCGGCTCATCAAGGAGGTTTTTAACCGGATCCGCGCCTTTTCGCTTTATTTGAAGCCGAAGAAATGCGAGTTCTTCAAGTCTTCTATCGAGTTCCTCGGCTACATTATCAAGGATGGGCAAATCGCTATGGCTCAAGACAAATTGGAGTGCATCCGAACTTGGCCCAAACCGACGTGTATCAAAGAAATTCAACGATTTCTTGGATTTACCAACTACTACCGACGATTTATCAAAGGATACGCTGGGTTAACACTTCCGCTTGTGAAGTTAACCAAGAAGTCCGAGCCGTGGATCTGGGACGAGAAGCAGGATGGCGCGTTTGCTACACTACTTTCGTCCTTCGCAAGCGAACCCGTTTTAATTCAAGCGGATTCGGACGAAATTTGCTATCTTGAAACGGATGCCTCGGACTACGCCATCGCCGCCGTCCTTAGCCAGCGCTACAAGGACGAACAGTTGCACCCGGTGGGGTTCTTTTCAAGGAAGTTGAACCCTGCAGAAATCAACTATACGGTCCACGACAAAGAGTTACTTGCGATCGTTGAAGGATTCAATCACTGGAAGCCGATTCTGCTTGGGATGGCGAAACCGATCGAAATCCTCACCGACCACAAGAACCTTGAATATTTTGCCACCAACAAGCAGCTTAATCGTCGACAGATTCGATGGGCTGAAACTTTGGCGGATTTCAACTTCTCAATCCGGTACCGACCCGGAACCAAGGGAGGTAAACCGGATTCGCTTACACGCCGACCGGATTACCACCCAGGTAGGGGAGGTATTAATTCTTTCGAACACAATCAGCCCAACTTCACCACGCTCTTGCCCAAAACATTGTGGCTCAACAGCATTAGAGAATCGGAACTCTACCGAAGAGCTGAAGAACAGGATATGGCTGCGATGAACGAGTATATCCGCGAGATGGAAGCGAATCCAGAAAAAGGGGGAGATGGAGATATCATCGACCGCATCATCAGCAAGGTAAAGACAATCGCGCTGACTGATGAATTCGCTTCCACGGCATTCAGAGCAACCTGGAAACAGGACGAAACGGATCTGGTTACCGGAAGCGAAC